CACGGGACTACGAGCTTCTTCAACCTCCCCAGCGATCGCACCTCCGCGGTCACGGCAGTTGACCTGCACCCCACGGCAACCGATATCGAGAGTCAGCGGAGAGAACGACTCGTGTCAAATGCGTGGCAACAACGCGTGTTGGAGGAGCATTCTGGGATTCCTGTACGTGCCTTGATGCGCTGCTGGCTAGTTGATAGCATCCATCTCATATGTTTCGCAGGAACCGTTCCAAACACTTCTGAATGTTCACTGGTGCTGGATCCAGCCCCTTTTCAACTTCATCTACCGACCTGCCTTTACTCGTATGCATCATTGTAGCCCTTTCCATTGGTTGGGTGTTTGCGATATTTACAGTTGTGTGTAGGCGATATGCAGTCCTTGGGCCCGTATTACTCCCATACGCTCCTCAATGCCGTTCTGTCACATTCAATACGCTGGGCAAAGAGCGATCCCAATACGCGGCGAATACTCGACGAGTCGTACGATGGTGGTGCAGTCTTTGGCAAGCATGCACGTAGTATGCTGTTTGAAGAGCTGAGTAAGGGTGTCTGCACGATTCCGACTATCCAGACACTGCTTCTCCTGAGCGCTCAGGAGTGCAGTCTCGGAAACACAACCCAAGCCTGGACATATAGTGGCTTGGCGTTCCGATTGATTGACCACTTGGGAATACATGTCGACGGGGAACGCTATCCTGGGTCAGTGCAGTTCAGCGACGAAGAGGTAGAAATCCGGCATCGAGTCTTTTGGTCGTGTTACTTCTGGGACAAGGTCATAAGTCTTTATCTCGGTAGATCACCATCGTTAAAACACACCATGGTGTCTCCGCCTCAAATCATGTGTGAGTCTTGAGCCGTGTTTGTGTCGATGCCCAATATCTGGCTGCTAATGATTGCTGATATCAAGTTGATGACTCTGCTGAAAACGAGCTGTGGGTTCCCTTTGGAGCGCCTCCACTTCAAACTGCACCGTGGAAGTACCCACCTGCCACGGCCCATTCGGCGTCATGTTTCCTAAGCATGTGTCGTTTGTCCGTTATTTTCAATGAGATTTTGATTCACATGTATGATCCACTCATGCAGAATACAGAGGCGGAGATTCTAGAGTGCTTGGTTGCTCAGGAACCGGCGTTGCAGCAGTGGTGGGAGGAGTTGGCGCCGTATCTGAAGATCGATCCTGCAGCTCTGCCGGCACTGGCCCCACCGTCTCATATTGTCACCATGAAGTAAGCACAAGTCGTTGAGAGGATCGATTTTGCAGATTGTTAACCATCCAATAGTTGCCTCTTCCAGACGTTTAAAATTCTTCTTTACCGCCCAATGCTCACCCGCAGAAATCTGGAAGACAATGTAGCCTCTCATAAGCGTTATCTCGTCGAATGTGTAACGTCTGCTACGGCCATCATAGCCATCTTTGACCTCTTTTGTCGCACATTCACCATGAACTACTGCGTCCTGTCTCTCGCATATAGCCTCTATATTGCTTCATCAATCTTCTTGCTCCAGATTCAAGCTGCTCCCGATGATGCACAAGCCCTGGGGCGCCTGAATTACTGCATCCAGGCTCTGAAGCAGGTCAAGACTTTCAGCCCAGGTAAGCCATGGATTCAAGAATCTCATTCTATATCTCACCCCTTTGATCCAGACTCAAGACTGACGCATCTTAGTCATCGGTAGCGCCATCGACTTGTTGAATAAGGAGCTTTCAGCAATCGGGATCTCACTGGATGTGCAAGAGCAGTACCAGCCCCCTTCAGCCCCCTCTCCTAACTTTCACCCAGAAAGCTCAATGTATCCAAGTGTCGAAGTGCCCTCTTCGCAACCACAGACGGCTCACCCGTTGTTTCAAGTCTCTCCAGCGCCTAGCTATAGCGCCCAAAGCATGTCCATGGACCCAGGCATCTTCGAGGCCATGTCGTCTCTAGAGCCACTAAGTGTTCGCGTTGGCGCCCTTCCGAATTCCGAGAATCAAGCTCCTTTCTAGTGGGCGAGGTAGCCTGTCGTCTCATCCTTGGAAAGCCATGTCTAAAGAGCAGTCGAAACGGCTTGAATGGATAAATTTCATCGTAGCTCGATTTTCCCAGAGTTTGGCTGTGCCGCAATAGGAGGCAAAGCCGGCTTTATCCCAGATTTTAGGTACAGTCCGACATCACCCTCGCTGTAATCCGTGGCGTCAACTTTGAGAATAATCCCGCGCGATTGTCGATCCGAGCTTCGAGCTGACGCTGTGTCATTCAGGACTGTATTCATTAGGCCAAAAGAGAAACAAAATGACGATTTGCTCCCCGTTTACCATTTTTCCGTTGTCCACGTGGCATGATCTGAACCATGGCATGACCCCCGTGTGCGTGTAATAAGGGGTCGCAGACGAAGGGCTCCAGTAGAGCTCTAGCACAAGAGAAATGTAGCTCTGCCGGAGGAAGACTTTATATATTGCCGGAATGATGCGGGGTGATGTCCCCAGCTACTAATCCTTCGGTGAAGCTCCGATTGCAATTGACAGGTCGATTGAGAAGCAATACCATGGCGCAAAATGATTAGGGCGGAAGTTGCCCGAAGACTATGGGTAGTGGCCTTATTTCCCCGTCCCGGCTGTCGGCTGCAGCCAATGCGTGCAAATATAGCAGTAAGACATTGGCTGCGGGGTCTTTGATAGGATAGGAATCTGTTTTACTTGCCAGTGAGTAGCGCTCCACGTATGCTGGATAATACCACCTACTTCCAATAGCGGATTGATGGAGCCATCCAGTTTTTATCTTTATCAATGCTGCTACTACTAGCACTACGTTGATTACAGCCAACTATTCATCTCACAGCTACAGCTTATCTATATACACTGACATTGAGGTCGTTTATCTCATCAGCGCACATTCCGACTAATGAAGCAGCCATTGATACACACAGTTTGAGACCATGTCTTCTGGGGTCAACGAGGTTATACGATGTTATACGCATTCATGGCCGATTCTAGTCTCTACTCCGCCCGAGTGAGACATGACCCACAGACACGCGGTCATCACAATCATGAGTAGGATTAGAGACCTTGCTGAAGCACGAATCCATTGCATGGGAAACGCGGTTGACAGATCATATTCCTGCTCATGGACATGCGCATGGCTGAGTGGACGGCGATCGATGCGAGGTCTGAAAGCAGCTAGTGGTTGGCTTCGCCCCCCAGAGAATCATTGTCATTCTACTTTGTGGAAATTCTTTAACAGGGGCAGCCAGAAGTGTTGGTGTACAGCATACATCCATGCTACCATCCGGCAGATGAGCTTTGCAGAAGCGCTATTCTCCGAGATGATAAATTGCGAATGTCAAGCTGCCTCGGTAGCTGGGACATGGGCTATCTTTTGATGCCGAGAGGATGGAGCACACGCATAAGGAGGCAGTTGATATACTCGTCTCGGCTTAATGTCTCCCGATGCTGTTATCGATATAATCAAAGGTGCTGACCAACAAAGAGCTATTGATAGGTACATAATGGAGCCCAGCTTCGTTGGTAAGAAGCTCAGGCTTTCTACAAAGTGTATTATGCAGGGAGAGAAGAAGGGGAATGGCAAGACAAGGGAGATGCCGGTGCGTATAGCTATTGGCCTGGACTGGAAAACAAGCCCGCAGCAACACTGGCTCCTTGCAAGACGACGGCATGATGAGTGATAGGCATTCCCCAACGAGGAGGTGCCCCGCCAGGGAGGTCATGCTGCTATTTAAGAAGTCCTCGGGATACCATACTTGTGCAAACTAGATCCATGGCGTGCGCATCCCAACGATCTCTCGGTCCTCTCAGGCTTCCCGGGCCGCAACGACTTACGCAAATTGGAAATGACGGGGTCAGCGGGAGCAGCCGTATTGGTCCGTTGGATGAATTGGGTTGTGGAACACGATCTGCTTCGTCACCCGTCGGGAGGAGGCACGACGCTGAGGCCGCCAGCAGCTATCATGGAGCCTCACAGCTGTTGTGGGACTCTGGAGCTTGGGCATTACGGATCGGAGCACTCGGAAGTTGGCCGACAGGACCCCCCCACGGATTCGCGTTTGACAAGCAGATGAGCTGCTGTGAGCTCCGTTCCACTGACACAAGGGGCGTGCAGCGTTTAGCAACACCATGATTTTGTGTTGGTGATGTTTTTCTGAGCATCATGGCCTTTTACACACGCTTTTGCGTCTGTCTCTACCTATAACCTTTTTGGCCAAAAATGAGGCGCAGCCTCAGCTTAAGCCTGGCCCCTTTAATCAGGAACCTTTTGGCCTCAGGCAAACAGGGCAGCGTCTCAATTGGGTCTGGACTGAGAGGCGTCTTAGCCGGCTGAGCATCGGCTAAACCTTTGGAGTACTGTATACTTGAATTTTGGCCGTATAATGAGACTAGAGACTGGTACATCTACCTGCAGTCTGGCAGCTGCATGGACCTCCACCTACCACGCCGAAGCGTGGATCCGCGGACCATGGCAGTGAGAACGAGGCCGAGTTGGGAACAGCTGCCATTAGCTGCGGTCGAGACGCGGAACCTTTTTCATCGCGACAATGCCTGACCTCTCGCAGTGGTGATTCGGCAAGTCTGCAACCTGGCGAGCTGCCCTTTTGGACCCTACGACGTCGATTCGGCCAACGTCGAGCCAACAGCCGGGCAGATCGCGACGCTGCATGGACGGGACGAGCCACGCGGGCTGAACAAGACAATAGCGCCCTTTGCAAGAGCCACTCTGCTCCATAGCATCCAGTCCCGGTTTACGCGTTAGTGGGAGAGCCATTGGGTGTGCGCGATTCGTCGGCATTGACTGCGAAGCTCCGCGGCAGTTGGGACGGTGCATCGCATTGCATCGCATCGCATCGCATCGCATCGCATCGACAGCCAATTCGGCGCCTGTCGCACGGCTGTCGTGACGAGCCTTGGCGGGCTGTCGCTGTCTGCTGTTTGGCAATCTGGCCCTGATTAGTGGGCAGACGGGGGCTGTTAGACCGGATCTGCAGAGGGTCGCAGTGACCCAACAGCCAACCATGGCTGGCCTCAATCTCTTTTACATCTTGACCGTGATGGTCATTGCCAGCGGATCTATCCCCAAAGGTAAGAAGCAAGCCTCATCCGAGTTTCAGCTCCCTTTTACACCATTCCCCAGAGCATTTGGCGAGGCAATTTCCCCATTTGCAACCTGTTTTCCTTGCCGATCACTGCCCCCTTTTGCATGGGTTGGTTGGTCCGTTGGTTGTACAGGAATGCAGTATGCCGTGCATGGCTAACAAGCCGACTGTCGATTAGGTTACGATGAAGGTGGATTTGCTGCCGTGGCAGACATGCCCTCTTTCCTGCATGACTACGGCCTTTCACGAAGACAATGGGTAGGCACGAGGCACGAGCTCATTTCTACAAAGGCCAACATCACGTCATTCGGCGTGTTGGGGGCAGCTTTTGGGGCCATTGTTGCTTTGGCCATTACGGACCGAATCGGTCGTCTGCGCACATGGCAGACCTTTATGGCTATTTGGATGAGCGGCTTCTTCATCACCATCTTTGCGTCTGGAATAATGGGTCTTTTGCTGTTCTCGCGGCTCTTGTCCGGCCTTGGTGCCGGCGGCCTGACGGTGGTATCTCCGCTGTATCTGACAGAGATTGCTCGAAGCAAGAACCGAGGCATGGTGGTTTCGGTTTACATGGTGCTGCTGCTATCCTTTCTCATGTTTGGTAAGTCGCCCAAAGAATCCAACCAAAAGTGATGCTAGTTGCTGACATGAATACTACAATAGGCTTCTTCATCAGCTATGGCGCTAGAAGGTCCCTACCTCGGACTAGGGAACAATATCGCGTCGTTTTGGGCGTGCCTTTGATCCCCGGAGGCATTGCTTTGATATTCTCCTTTTTCATTAGGGACACCCCCCGCTGGCTTGCGTCCAAAGGCCGCAACGAAGAGGCTTTGTGGGTATTGTCCCGGCTGCGAAAGGCACCGGTTGACGATGCAGCCGTGCGAGAAGAGTACGCGCAGATTATTGACCAGGTGCGAGATTCGAAGCAAAGACTCTCTGACACGTCGACTTGGACAATTGTCAAGGAGGTTGCCACAATCTCCAGCTATCGCAACCGATTTTTGTTGGGGCTTGCCATGCAAACAATTGCTCAGTGGACTGGTGGCAATGGTATAACATACTATATCCCCATGATCTTCCGAATTGCTGGCATCCGAGGGGAAAACCTATCCTTGGTTACCTCTGGCGCATATGGTGCGCTCAAGCTTGTGTTTACCATGATATTTACATGGGGCCTCATCGACATACTTGGTCGACGAGTGTGTTTCATGAGCGGCCTTGCTATTCAAGGCGCCACACACGTCTACATGGCCGTTTACTCGGGAATATGGTTGCAAGATCATAATAGACCTGCATCTGATGGCGCCATTGCGTCTGTATTCATCTACGCCGTCGGGTGGTCCATTGGACTTTGTACGATCCAGTATCTGTACGGCACGGAGATTTTGCCCACGCGCATCAGAAGCGTATGTTATGCGACAAACATGACGGTGCACTGGTTTTTCCAATTTGCCGTGGTGCGCGCAACGCCGCCCATGCTTGACAGGCTCGACATTTGGGGTGCGTATGTGTTTTGGGCATGCATCTGCTTTGTCGGACTGGTGCTTCTCGGCCTGTGGGCTCCAGAGACAAAGGGCGTGCCGATGGAGAGGATGGATGAGCTTTTTGAGGGGCGGTGGTACATGGGCTGGAGGGCCAAGTTGGGCACACAGCGCGATGCAGAGGATGGGATACTCGGGAGACGGACGTCTCAAGACGTGAGCAGTTCACCTGAAGTTGTGCAGGTGAATGGGCAGAGGTTTGTGACAAAGTATCCTTGATTTTGTGTGTTTTTACATTCTGTATAGTCTTTTGTATCATATCCTCTGTGTATTGTTTATGAAGAGGCTTTTCCCTTGGCTTTTGTTTCTTTCTATGAGCAAGAAGAGTTGGATCATATGCAGTAAAGTTTTGGGCTCATGGCGCTGGCGTTTGATCATTATGCTTGAAAAAGCGGTACATATATATAATCAGTTGGATATCTTGTCTATATTGTAGATGTTTAATTATAGTTGATTTCAGCCAAAGGGCTTATGATTGGACGCAGCTCAACCTGTGACAATACTACAGTTTTGCTCATCATGGTCGCAACTTGCATTGTTCATTTACTATATAAGAAGATGTGATATAGCCAGACAATAGACACACGCACGAAGGGTATTATATATATACAGTACTAGCAAGAAGAAAACGCTTCACTAGATCACACAAAACTCAGATTCCATTCCATCAATATCTCATCAGTCATTTGGCATAAAAACAAACAGGCATTCAACATTGCAACTTAGTAGGGAGTGAGCTGGTACGAGCCCATCTTCCGCGGAGGCACCTTTGCCTGGAACATGCGGTCAATCTCGTCAAAGGTGCGGCCCTTGAGCTCGGGCACAAAGAACCAGCTCCAGGCGGTGGCAATGAGGGCCAGGCCGCCAAAGATGAAGCCGACCTTGCCCTTGAGGTTGGCCTCGTCCGGGTTCACCATGTAGGGGATGGCAAAGTTGAAGGCGATGCCCATGACGGCCTGGGTGGCGGTGGCGAGGGCAATGGTGGGCGCGCGCAGCGAGGTGCTGCTCGTCTCGCCCAGGATGGCAAAGGCCATGGCGCCGAGGCCGACGTAATAAAAGAAGGCGTAGACGACGGTCAGCGACGCCTGCACCCACTTTGCGCCGGCGGTGGGCACGACGTCCATGATGCCGATGAGGAAGAGGATGGCCGTCAGGATGCACATGCAGCTCACAAAGATGCGGCGGCGGCCAAACGAGTTCATGATGATCCAGCTGAGGATGTTGCCGCCCAGCCCGCAGGCCGTGACGCCGATGCCCAAATCAAAGCTCTTCTCGGTGGGCAGGCCGGCCAGCTCGAAGAAGTAGGTGGAGAAGCCCAGGACGAAGATGATGCCGGTGAAGTGCTGGCACACAAAGACGCCCATGGAGATGGCGGTGCGCACCAGGTTGGTGCTCTTGAAGCACTGCACGAAGCTGCCCTGCTCCGAGCCCGACGCCTCCTCCTCGGCAATGGTGGCCTCGAGCGTGGCCAGCTTGGCGTTGATGTCGACGCTGGCGCCGTACAGCTTGCGCAGCGCCTTCTTGGCCTGCTCGCGCTTGCCGACGCGGGCGAGGTGCCAGGGCGTCTCGGGCGCAAACGGCAGCAGCACCAGCAGGAACGCGCAGAAGAAGAGCTGGATGGCAAACGGCGCGCGGTACGCCCACCGGCTCTCCCAGCCGCCAAAGCCCTTGATGGCCACGTTCGACAGCAGCTGGCCCGTGCCGATGCCAAACTGCACGCCCGCCGTCGCGATGCCGCGGAAGGCCACGGGCGCGCACTCGGACGCGGCCAGCGGCGACAGCGTCAGGTAGAAGCCCAGGCCAAAGCCCAGGATCAGCTTGGACACGAGGAAGGCGCCCTTGACGCTGGAGAACATCTCGCCCAGGATGCCGCCCGCGACGACGGCGACGCCCATGAGCAGCGCGGCCTTGCGGCCCCAGCGGTCGGCGACCCACGAGCAGGCGAAGCCGCCGAAGAACTGGCCGACGGACGAGACGGTGTTGAAGGCGGACAGCCAGTCGGCGGGCAGCACGGCCTTGCCCTGGTAGATGTAGCCAAAGTCGCGGCGGAAGGATTGGACGGAGAGCATGCCGCCGTTGACCTGGGCGTCGAAGCCCCTGTTGGCATGTCAGCTTATACATGAATATATACATGAGATGAGATGTTGTAAAAGACTGAGACTATCAACTCACCAGCCAACGCCCGCCATGGCCCAGTAAAAGGCCCAAAACACCAGCGCCGGGTGCTTCACAAACACTTCCTTGACCGTCAACTCGTGCTCCCGCTGGATGTCGACGCGCACCGTCTCGTCCTTGGGGCTGCTAAAGTCGTCCACGCCCGAGACGTGAGTCTCGAGCGGGGCGCCGACGCGCTTCTCGTCTTCGGAAAGGCCCATTGCCTCGGCTCTGTCTCACTCAAGTACAAGATACGGAGAATAAAACAAGAGACAGATACAATTGGATGGATTGCCTATGAGTTGGCCGATACCATAATATTCGAATCGAACGAGTAACAAAAAAAAAAAGAGAGAGGGGATTAGATGTTCATATATAGTATTTACCACTTCTGAGGGGGGCCAAAAAGCTCAAAGTGGTGTGAAACATGAAAAAAGACAATAAATCAATTGCACTTGCATGGGCATGGTTCAACTTCAAGGATGGGGTAAACAGGAAAGCCCCAAGCCTTGTCCCACTCCAGTCCCGTGGTGGTTTGATGCATCCAGATTGCTTCCAGGCTGCATATGCAACCCATGCAACGGCGCAAAGCCTGGGGAAAAAATAAGCCACCCTCCACAGAATTGTAGAAGAAACAATGTGCCTGTTTCGGACCGATTCCGTGATTGGTAGGCGGCTAAAGAGAAGAGGAAAAATATACTAGTACCACTTGTAAATGAGTAGAGAGAAAAAAAGCAGTTTACTTTTCTTGCTAGCTATTTTGTTACGCAAAAGAACTTTGTTATTACGGTCTAGGACCAGGTAGGGCGGGTAAGCCGATTCGAAAAAAAAAGGGGATAAAAGAGAAAGCATCGAAGTTGAGTAATATTGGCACCGGTTCTAGCCCGTGTTGTATCCCGGCTTGTTGTCAAGTCCTAGGCTTACGACACTTTCTATTGGCAAAGCAGGTTTCTTTTGACGATTCTGCGTATTATGAAACCATGGAAAAAATGCTTGTCTGATTGCTTGTTGGTGTCATATTGATGATCCTGTTGGAGATGTCGAGGCTTCGCCATGGCGGCAGAATGTTTAGGCCATCATCAGCTGTAAGGGCAGTGCTAGTGCAAGATGCTAGCATTTACCAATGAATGGCCCGGCGCTGACAGCCTTCCCAGCCTCTCGCAATATCTCAAACCTGTCGTTTCATGTTTGACTTCTGGCGCAGTTGTAGCCTCGTTTGCCGGGTTTTTGTAAATGAGAAAATTCATATCAAATCATACAATTATCAATTCATAATATCAAACAATATTACAAACAGCATTTCACATACTGCATCAGCGTGTAAACTACAATTCATAACTTGGCATCTCTTCAGCACGTCCAATCAGGCTAGACGAGGTGAAAATATCACCAGACGCAAAAACAAGGCACCATTTCACACGCTTAGCCGACTATAGCCAGAGCGGTCTAAACGCCAACCCGCACCACAGTGGAGTCCGCAGCAGACAGGGGAACAAAGGTCCGGGGGAAACGGTCCAAAAGAAGTCTGGGGTGCAGCAACCGAACAAAAAAGAAAAGAAAAGAAAACAAGTCAATTTGACATTTAGAGCCAGAAAATGCGGAGGGCGACGCTCCCCGGCAGATGTTTTGCGATGGGAGATGCCCTCGAGATTCAAACCAACACACACACTTTCCAAGTCCAACACGCCGCGACATGGCGATTGGCTGCGTTCCCCTGGAATGGGCTGCAGTGGCGTGTCTTTGCCGCCGTGGGGTAAAAGAAGGAAGAGGAACAGAAAAAAAGGGAAAAACCGCTAGTGATTTGCTCTAGTGGCCTGGCCAGTGCGGGGAGAGGAGAATGAACGAGTTGACGGTGGGCAGATGATCTGGAGGGCGAGATGCACACGCAGATGCCTACAACAAGAGCAAAGCAATATAAACCGCAATAAAAGTGAAATCCTACTGCCACCTCTATACTGCTACAGTACAGCAGCTATTCGCCACAGCCCATCCCCCGACGGCCAATTCGCCTCTGACGTTGCGCCCGTCGGAAGTTATAGCCGTGGGTGGCATCAAAAAAGCGCTATGGCATGCAAAGCACAGGCAAGATTTCTGCCGTGCAACGGGCCAAAGAAGAGGGTCAGCCGGGCGGCGGTAGCATCCCGAAGCGTTTCTGGGGAAGAGCCACGCCACGGGATGGAACGGTGGCAAGCACCAGGTCTGTCGATACGGACAATGGCCAGCAGAATGAAAGAACAAAGTGCCAGGTCAGGGTGGTGGATGAGATGATGATGGTCCCCGTCTTGCCTATTGTCGCCTAGCAGCAGCATCACCCCATGCCGTTCCCCGTATCGAGGGAAAAAAAAAAAAAAAAACTCTTCAGTCGTTTTGTCTACGGGGGCTCAACAACGTGCTCTGCAAACCCTGGTCCCATAACAACAGCGTCAGTTCTCGTAATCCCGTACATCAGCTGCATACCTGTCTCTTGTAAATGAAAACCACCAACAGCCCACACTCCGGGCATACTCGTCTCTTGTAAATGAAGAAGAAGGGGGAAAAAAACGGCCGTCTTCAGCCCCAGCCGGCCCTATTCATCTTCACAACTCCATCTTTTCAATCAAAACAAGCTCCAACCCGGAGCGCCTTTCGGTACAATTTTCACCTGCCGAGACAAATAGCGGCCACTGGCAGCCACACACCCCTGATCACTTCACGCTGCCCAGCACGCGTAAAAAAAAGACCACACCAAAAAGGTTGCCCCAGACTCTCCCCCCCCTCCCTCCCGCTACTCCTTTTTTTACTTCACCCACTGCCGAGCCCTGTCCGAACCCGCCAGACGCTAAAAGAGAAAAAAAGTACGTTAGGGCTTTCTTCCAGGTCACCCTCGGGCGGCTAATTCCAGCCGGGACCCTGTCTCCCCAAGTCGTAGGTAATAAAAAAGAAGACGGAGCCACTTGATAAGCACAAGAGAGCCGGTAGCATCGATCTCGCTGTCCCATCATCCAACGACCCAACCGAGACTCCCCGAAAGTCAAAACCATCGCCTTCTCGCCTCGTCGTCGTCGCCGCCCGCCCCCCGCGTATCGCTGTGCCCATCCATCGCCAATCCGATTAGATAGATATACTTGGTCTAGGAGTGGCTCTGTGGCCCCCCTCCCCCCTCCCCCCTTGCGCATGTCGCTGCCGCCGAATCCAGCCATGCCGCCGCCTCGGGCTCAGCCGCAGTCGCCGTTCCTCGCTACGGCCCTGGTGTATCCTGGCGGCGCCGGCAGCAGCAGCAGCAGCAGCACGAGCACGGGCACGAGCACGACTATAGGTAGCTTCGCCGTCAACGGCGGCGGCGGCGACGTGGCTGGCCTTAGCCCGGGCAGCAGTAGCGCTGGCATGGGCATGGGCATGGCTTCAGCTTCAGCTTCAGCGTCGGCGTCGGCTTCACGACACGCCCAGGACGCCTCGCTGTCGCTGGCCCCGTTGACGTCGCCCATTGGCGGTGGAGGAACTGGCGGCCACAGTCACCAGCAGGACCTGCACCTCGTCGATGCTGCCGACGGCGGCCACACCGCCAGCATCAGCCTCGGGGGTCCGTCGTCGCCCGTCGACGCCGCCGACCTGTCCTCGCGCCGCCCGGGCAAGCGTCCGGCCGCCCGCGGCACGGCCTTTTACCCCCGGAAGCGCGCCAACACGGCCTGCCAGGTGTGCAGGGCGCGCAAGACAAAGTGCGACAACAAGAAGCCCGCCTGCAGCTACTGCGTCAGCGTGGGCGCTACGTGCATCCAGTCGCCCGTCGACCTGTCCAGCTTCGACCCCGCCAGCCTGAAGATCCTCGATCGCATCGACGAGCTGGAGCGCCTGCTGCGCCATGCCGTGCCCATCCCTGGCGCTGGAGCCTCTGGGTCCGGGGGATCGTCCGGGATCGCCTCCTCCCCCGGTGCGGGTGCGGCGGCGCCACAGCCGGCTCTGGCGCCTCCCGGCCCCGGCTCCGGCTCCGGCTCCGCGTTCGCCGGCCACCAGCAGCGCTTGCCCCCGCTGAGGGCCGGCGGCTTCGACCTACACGGCGTCAAGCACGCCGACGACGACGGCGTCACCATCAGCAGCCTGCTGCCCCAGCGTGTGGATCACATCCTGCAGTGGCCAATCTTCCACAATTCCGGGTCCCACCACCACTCGCCAGCCTCTTATCGCGCCCCTCCCGATGCCATCGCGACGCCGCCCTCGGGATCGGCCTCGCTGGCCGGCCTCATCGACATGGACTCGCACCGCATCTACCGCCTGCTGGACAACTTCTTCCTGCACATCCACTGCAAGAACCCGATCCTGGACGAGGTGCTGGCCCGCCGCATGGTTCTAAACGCCTTTCTCGACGGCATCGACTGGTCGCCCGCCTCGTGCCTGGCCCTCATCATCTGCGCCCTCGGCTGCATCGCCACGCCCTTTGGCCCCAGCGGCGAGACCAAGCTGGGCACGCAGACGTACAATGACTCGCAAATCTTCTTCCAGGCGGCGCAGAAGCGCATCGGCATCCTGCTGGTGCGCTCCGACATTGTGGGCGCGCAGTGCCTGTTCCTGTCGGGCATCTACCTCATGATGGTCTTCCAGCCCGTCTACGCCTGGCGCTTCTTCTCCCAGGCCCTGGCCGCGTGCCAGCACTTCCCCTTCCTCGCCCGCGCCCAGAACCTCAGCGCCTCGCTCGACTCCATGGAGATGGGCCGCCAGGACACGCAGGAGCAGGCCGTCTACTGGTCCGCCTGGAAGTCGGAGCGCGAGCTGCGCCAGGAGCTGGACCTGCCCGACTTTGACATCCTGCACGCCGGCAGCACGCTGTACCCGCCCTTCTTCCCCGCGCCGCCCGTGGCCCCGGCCGAGTCGCCGGACGGGCCCGACTCGGAGACGCAGCGCGCCCGCGCCGCCTGGCTCTTCTACCTGGCCGAGATTTCGCTGCGCCGCCTGACCAGCCGCCTGTCGCGCGAGGTGCTGGACCTGCGCCAAAAGTACGCCTCGGACGCGGTGCTGCTCGACATGCTGCTCGACATGATGCCCGAGTACGAGGCCCAGATCGGCGAGTGGTCCGAGAGCCTGCCGGCCGACCTGTCCATCCACACGCCCGTCGACGAGGACGGCATCTGCCGCTCCGTGCTGCGCGGCCGCATGATCAACCTCTTTGAGCAGCTCTACTGGCCCTTTGTCATGGCCAGCATCAGCGCCCACGTCGCCCGCCGCGCCGTCAAGCCCGCTGTCGCCGACTTCGCCAAGCGCGGGCTCGAGACGCACATGCTGCAGGTGCGCGTCAACAAGCCCGGCTTCCACCACCGCCACCACGGCAGCATGTTCATGATCCGCGCCTGCACGCGCAGCGCGCTGGTGCTGCTGGCCGCGGCGAGGGCCGGGTGCGCCATGCCCACGGACTGGGAGGACTCGGTGTACAAGACGGTGGGCATGCTGGCCTACTGGGAGGACGAGGACAGGGACTTGATACACTGGCGGGCGACGCTGGAGCGGGAGCTTTCCCTGACGCGGCATGAATGAAGACCAAAAACGATACCTTTTACTTTTTTACTTTTTTCTTATAATGATGGCAGATTAATTCATTTCTTCTCTTGCGAGGAGCGGCAGTTTGACTCTTGTCTTGATCTTTCCTTGTTTACTTCTGTATGTACTTTTCTTTAGCTTACAAGTAGAATGCGGTACGACATGAGCACATGCCACGGAGTCGTGGTGCAGAAGATCATAACGACTAGGCACAACCACATGGTAGTACCTACTACCTACTATCCCTGCTTTCTGTGTGGAGAAACCGGCAAGCTAGCTATTTTACTGGGGACTGTACATGTCGCGAGGGATCCAAACAAAAGAACAGCGTCTTATTTCATCTCGCCTTTATTCATTAGTTCCGGGGATACTAACGTTTTCAATACCATCTAACCTTCAAGCCAACTGCCCAACTGCCCAATGATCTGCTACAATTAGTGCCTGCGGAGTATTACCATGCACCACCAGTCATGCTGTCTCCAGGTGGGAAATGATATTACTCCGCTGCCAAACAGTTTCGAATGAGCTGTAGTTCATCGGGGAGTGTCGCTCCAGTCAGCTTTTGGCGCTAGTCGACTAGTAACAACACTGCGTCAGGCTTCTTTACTTGATCAACGACGTTCCATTCCTTTCGGGACAACCTGTCGGATAATCCGCTGCTTGTTTGTTTTTACGAGATGAAATGATGGTTGCTACTGGTTTAACTTCATACTCACGCGACACTTTGAGGTAACGTTAGAGCCATGCGTTGCGGTGGGTATTGGGCCTGTTAGTTCGTGGGACAAGCGTAATGAGTCAAGCTGGCCAAAATGATGGATATCCGTCAACCGCCCATTTCTTTCTTTCTTCTCTTCTGTTTTCTCACTCCTCTCTCTCTCTTCCTGTTTTACTGCATTTGTGATTCATCATACAACTTGTCATGACAAGTAACAGCCCTGAGATGATCGATAATTGCCATCTTACCCCCCCTCTGCTCAATCGCTATTTCACTCTGCTAGTGAAACTGCAGATTCTACAATTTGTTGACTAACTTGATAGGCATCAAAGACAAGCTTCTATAAATCCACGTCTCGTTCGAAACATCTTGCTATGCAACAGTTTCTCGATATGCCAAACGAGCTAGCTACATCTTCGTCAAACAAGACTATGTAGCATATGACCAAACAAAACAAACAACACACATTGTGCGCACAAATCGCCTTTACTCCCAAATTGTCCACCCATGAGACCAAAAGCAATACAAGATCCATCCATGCTTCGATGCTTCGATGCTCTCGACACGTCTACGCGCCGTTTCCCTCCTCCCATATCCTAACAACAAGTAAAAGCATGGCCCGCCATCTCTCTTTCACATCTCCAAATGCCTACATTTGTTCTTGCATAAAATTTCACATCTATAAATATTCACATCTTTACCTTCGTCCTCGTGCCTCAGAAGCATCCAAGAAAGAGGGGTCCTTGATACTGCCGCCTGCGTCGTCTAATCCCGCGACGGGCCTGTTGTAGCTAAAGTTGACAAACTGATCCTGCATCGTCTTGGAAAGCACAAAATCGTCGGGGAGCGAGTCTTGGGCGGGTTCGTCGGTAAACTGCTTATCAAAGTTGATTGTGTCGAGTGCATTGGCCTAATTTGTCTCTTGTTAGTCCATCTTTTGACCCCAGGATGACTTTGACAGAAGAGGGAGAGAGTGGGTTGAAAGAATGAGACCTACCACGTGGGGCTTGAATGTTGGTTCATATTTGCGCTGCAGGAGCTTCTTCCAGTCAATGCCGTGGAAAAAGGGGTGCGACTTGATCTCAGTGGACCCATTGACTCCCAGTCTCTTGGTCGGGTCTCGATCCAGAAGCTTGGTTAGCAGGTCCCTCGCCGCCGGAGGCACAACGTCGTAGCCGGGGAAGTTCAAGGGGGCCGTCAAGATTTTGCGATACATTTCGTTGGTGTTCTCGTCATAGAAAGGCGGCAGACCCGTCAGCATTTCGTAAAGTAGCACGCCGAGTGTCCACCAGTCTACTGTTTTACCATAGCCTTCTCCCTTCAACAATTCGGGCGCCAGATACTCGGGAGTGCCGACAAACGTGTTTGTAGAATCCTCGTCCTTCATCTCGAGCTTACACAGCCCAAAGTCACAGAGAGCAATGTGGCCCTGGTAGTCAAGAAGAATATTCTCGGGCTTCAGATCCCGATAGACGACGTTGAACCCGTGCAGACATTCGAGAGCACAGAGTAGCTCGGCAGTATAGAATCGAGAGCGGTTGATATCAAAGCGCCCTTCCTTTGAAAGATGGAAGAACAGCTCTCCGCCATTCACAAACGCCAACACAAAGTAGAGCTTTTCCGGGGACTGGAAACTAAACTTTAACGGGACGATGAAGGGGTTGTTGATCTGAGCAAGGACGGAGCGTTCGGCGAGTGTGTGCGTAACTTCGGAACGCGAAATGATTTTGGCCTTTCGAATGGTCTTGATGGCGTAGATGCGGCCGGTATCCTTTTTCTGAACCTGCATCACCTTTCCAAAACTGCCCTTGCCAACAAGCGTGAGAAGGTGAAAGTCATCAATCGTGAGCTTGCCGACGCGATTTTCAACAAAATCAACGCCAATTTGGAGCTTGCCTGTTCCATTCTGTAGTTCAAACCAGCCCTGCCCGCTGTAACCCTGAGACTGTGGGCGTTCACCCTTTTTGCCTGATGCTTCAGACGCAGTCTCGAATCTGGGATTGACGCGAACGGATCCCAGAAAGATGTCTTGGGATCTACCAGCCGCGGCTGGGTTTCTCATAAAGAGCGAGACCGTCAACTCGCCAACACGCGACACGTCAAATTTGTACTGGGTGTTGGAACCAGCCCAAACAGGGTTCTCGGGGTTGCCATCAACAGAGTTGATGAAAACTTGGTTCTTGTCAAAATCCACCAGCGCATACGGCATGTATTTGGTCGACACACGGCCATGGTTGGTCGGAATGCCTTTGAATCCCGATCCGGTTGACTGCGGTCTGGCAGATGCACTCTGGCGGACAGAGCTCAGCGCATCTCCAGCAGAGTGGGTGCCAGTCGGGTGGCCTGCGGCTAAGACATCTTGATATTCCTCGGGGAGAGAGAGGCCGCGGGCTTCGAAAAGGGTAAGGACGAGGATGCCAGGTTTCGGTGGCTTGACGACGGGCGCCTGTGTGAGGCCTTCTATGGTGGCTAGAGTGCGGAGAAGGACAACCAGTTAGAGGAGATTTAAGAGTATGGGATGAAATGCGCTGATTAAACATACTGGCGCCGTTCGCATCGGAGATACTATTGACGTCAGACGGGGTCGAAGTGCCGCTCTTGTCTTTGGTCTTGTCTCTGCCGGAGGGCGATGAAGACTTTGAGAAGCCCAGATGGGTTTCTTTGAGCTCTAGAGAATGGAATCCAGAAGTCAGTTACCAGAAAGAGTAAAAGATGAAGTCTTTTACGCAGCAGCATGGTGATTGATGTCTCAGCCGCTGCTGGCCGAGGCTGATGCTATTCCCAGGCTCAGTCCCATCGAACCAGCCCGATCACAGCAATCCCTCGCAGTGCAAGCGGAGATGATTGAGCAACCCGGAGAAGCAAAGAAACCGCCAGAAGGACAAGGGCCCAAAATGACAAGCACCGAGGCCGTGGCTAGCCATGACACACTCACTTTTGGTCAGGTTCCACGACATGGTTTGCACCAGCGCAGCGAGGCTGGAGATTCCAGCAACAGACACGGCGGCGATGGTGGCAGCGACGCAGCGACGAAGACGATGTAACGAATGAGCCTGAGCGGCCTGGAATCGGGAATTGATGCTGCTGGCCCGGGATTTGGAATTGCTGGGTCCGGGTGTTTGGGTCGAGGATGTGGATTTGGAATCGCGGGACGAATGGCCTTGAGTTGTGCTTATGCTTGGTTCGACACCCGTAGGTGGTGCGGCTGTTGAGGGGAGAGTACGAGGCGCAGAGGGGCTGGGCTGAGGCGCATGCCAGAGGGACCACAGCAGTGCTGAGCGCTGCGGGAGGGGCTGCGCACAGGAGGCGCTGGGTGACGGGTGCTAGGTCTCTAAAACACAGCGGTCAATACATTGATGTGGCTGTGGTTGGCATGTGAGCATGTGAACAGGTGAGGAAGAAATTGGCAGAAATTGCAATATGACTTTGCAGTTAAATGCTGGCTATTGAATGTTTGAGGCTTCAAGATGGCTGCTGCATAAAGGAAATTGTGACTAGTATTCGTAATCGTAATCTTATGCTCTCGCTCATATGCTCATTCTGGAGCGTCAGGCCTCCAAGCTGAATGCCGCATGGCTTACCGGAATTGATACGAGTCCCTGGTTCAGAACTGACAACATCTTCCACTCGCATCTTGCTTTCATCAGAACATACGAAATCAAGACAGTAGCAACTCCATAACAGAATACATTCGGGATGCGTCATATCAACACTAAGTCGTATTCCATCAGACACTGGTTGTCATGCCATGCAGGCTACTACTAGTAGGTACGGCACCAGCAGATCTAGACAGAAAAGATTACAGAATCTCAAAACCCATGCCCAAGCCCAAAACATGGGGTGCATATCGTCCGTATTACCCTTTGGAATCCCCTGAAAAAAAGAGAGAAGCACAACACACAACAAAAACCCCGCACTAAGGAAAACCCCTAACCCTGCTACCGAACAGCCGTATTAGCAAAAGTTGTTTAGAATCAACTCCCCCCAAAACATTTGTCACGACCTTTGCTCTTTTTTTCCTACTCGAGTCTAGCACCAGCAGCTAGCTCCAGGGACCCGATTGCGTCATGTCACGATAGGACATCAAACTGGAGCCCAAGCCAATGGAATATTTTTTTTTTTTGGACCCTCATTGGTAATTTTTTGTGTAGACCCTTGTTTTTTTTACTGAGACGCTGATGACTGTATACTATCGTGAATGAAAATATATAACAATTGTCCTGTTGCTTCATTCCCGTCATTCCCATCATCATCATCAACATCGTACATCTTTGACATCATCATCAGCCACTTATATAAACCACCACAGCTCTCAACCTCAACCCCTCACCCACCAACAACCTCCCTCCCCCTTCTATACACCATCACCAACACACACATCACCACCACCATGATCTTCAACAACCTCTTCTCACGGCTCTCCCGCCCCTTCACAGCCGCCACCCGCCTCTCCATCGCCCCCGAATCCCCCGCAGCCACAACCTCCCTCCCCGAAGGCGCCCAGCGCTGCACCGTCGCCGCCGGCTGCTACTGGGGCACCGAGCACCTCTACCGCAAGCACTTTTCCGGCAAGGGCCTCATCGACGCAAAGGTCGGCTTCATCGGCGGCGACCTGACCAACCCTTCCTACCGCGCCGTCTGCGGCGGCAAGACCGGCCGTATGTTACCCTTCCCCTTCTATCAAATCAACATCAATTCTCACAGCTAACACCACGCAGACGCCGAGGCCGCAGAAATCATCTTCGACCCATCCCAAGTCTCCTACCGCCAGCTCATCGAGTTCTTCTACCGCATGCACGACCCCACAACCCTCAACCGCCAAGGCCCCGACACCGGCCCGCAGTACCGCTCCGCCATCTACTTCCACAGCGACGAGCAGGAGCGCATCGCCCGCGACGTCACCGAAAAGGCAAACGCCCAGTGGTGGCAGGGCAAGATTGTCACCGAGATTGCGCCCGCCGGCCAGTGGTGGACCGCCGAGGAGTACCACCAGCTGTACCTGGAGAGGAACCCCGAGGGCTATGAGTGCCCGAGTCACTTCCTGAGACCGCTCAAGGATCTGGAGTGATTGATAAAAGAGAAGAGGGGGAAGAGATAAAGGGGACGTTATGAAAAGATGGAAGACGGGAGGCAAATTCCATCTGTGAAACGATAATTCAACATTCACTGTATACCCATTGTATTTATACATTCCACAGCGCAGTCATTGCAAGTTCAACCAGAAAGGGTCATGGATAGTCTTTATTTTAAACAAATTTAACATTTTTTTTTTCTTAATACTATTTTTTTTAATCATTTTTGTCTTTATTTTATAATCCTCCACTTATTGATACAACGGGAACGCCATGCTTCCCATATAAAGTTGAGAGAGAAAAACGTAAATCATCCATTGAGCGGAGTTTATCTCTCGCAAAAAAAATCCCTTTGCTTAAAAATGTTCCAATCACACCCCTCCACCGTTCCTCTCATTATTTCCCTTTTATTCTCTTGCAGTTCAGACGCTCATGGTGGCTTATTTCCTCCGGTTCTGGTTCAGCATCAGAATCTGCACCATGCGGATGAAAATGTTCAAAAAGTCCAACTCTAGCGAGATACTCTCGTTGACGGGATCCCGCTTGATAACACCAGCCTGAGCCAGGCGGGCGTGATGAAGCACCTTTTGCACGTCATACAGGGTGAAGCCGCCAAAGACGGCAAGACCACCGTACAGCCAGATGTTCTGAGTGAAAGCCAGTGTTCGCACGGCGGTAGCAGGGATGACAAGAGGGGCCAGGCCAGAGGCGGCGATGATGGCAGCACCGGCCAGAAGAGGTCCACCAATGTAGAGGTACTTCTCCTGCTTGGCCGTAGCGCCGACGACAGACAGGGCACCCATCATGGCGATGGTGTAGAGACCAGCGCGGGCGAGAAGAGGCACGGGAACAAATGCCAGCATGGGAGCGACAAAGGCAGCCTGAGTGGCGTTGAAGGCAGTCCATAGGGCATATTTGGGGATGTAGCTACAATTCACACACGTTAGCAAATCCATTTTCAGATTGCGACTTTTCCAATGCATCAGACTCACTTGTCAGGGCTAATAGATCGAGTTCCAATCATCGTGGCAAAGCTCAGCGCCAATCCACCCAATCCCACAACCCACGGGTTCGTCACCATCAAACGGTACACGAATCCCGTCTGCACCATCTGCCTGGCCGTCAAGCCAATAATGCCAACGCCCAGTCCAGTGTGCAAGAAGGTGTTGTTGAGGTATTCCCGCTCAAACAGAGGCATTCCGCCATCCTCTCTCGTCTCGCGGTTGAAAACAGTGTTGATCGCCACCAGCGTGCCGCCAAAGATGGCTCCTCCCACGAGCAGCCTGCGGAGACCGCTTCCGCTCGTCACAGACTGCTGCCGGGTCGCGGCCTCTTGGTAGTATGATCGCGCAAAGCCATGGCGGGTTGTCGCTGATGCAATGCGGGAGCTGAAGAATGCGCTGCTGGGCTTTTTGGGTGCTTGTTGGTGGAAGCTTCGCATGGATGTCCGGAAGGCTGGGAGCAGCCGCTGCTGCGCAATGCGCGCAGGGCCCTGCTGAATGCTCAGCGTAAATGACATGTTGGACCGTTAAGCGCTTGTATATCGGTCGAGGACTTTGTTCTGTCTTGATTGTTGAGAAAAGAGGAATTGATTAGCAACAGCCAATGCGGGGACAGGTTGCTGCCGGTTTAATATATGAGTAAGAAATATGATACTAACACGGACAGCTTTTCGCTATGGATAAAGCCGGCCATGACGTTTGCCCGGATACCTGCTAAATCCGGCGTCACGTGTTGATAGCTTATTTTGACGAGTGGAAATTGGGCGACTCTTGTAGAAGGCTCCGGCGACTTTTAGCAGAAGCTCCGGTCTATTGAGCGGCTCTTAGAAGCTAAGCTTACTAATGCCGGGCAGTGCCTCTTTCGCATGCTCGGAGTACGAATGCAAAGTGCCTCGCGATAGCCTCATGTCCGCAAAGTCCGCATATCCCTTTCGTTTCTATTATTTCTCAATTTTTTTATTCCCATGTCCTAATACCCGTACAATATGCTATTACATCGATCAAAACATACATGTCCGTCTCACATCGCTACCCAAAAATCAAGAATCAACTAAAAAAAAAAAAAAAAAACCGCAGCAACACTGGAGAATTTCGTCAGATCGTTCAGTCCAAGTACCCTCCCGGTTTGCTAACCTCTATTACTTTGTACCTTTCCTTGAATTACCACCCAAGACACGTTTTGGCGCCAACCAATACAAAGCTCCTCAGCATGCCCCTTCCCATGAATATGCAAATAGATACATGTTTGTGTTGAGAAGCGTACGTTGTACAGAAGAAAAAAAAGAAAAAAAAGAAAAAGAAAAAAAAGAAAAAAAAGAAAAAGAAAAAAAAGAAAAAAAAGAAAAAGAAAAAAAAGAAAAAGAAAAATTAGATAATAGCAAGTGCGTGAAATAAACTGAAATGGTCAAGTTGTCGCTAATAGGAAGTCGTCTCATCTGAGTCCATCAACCCCCTTTTCAATCACAAACTTCACAGGCTGCCTCGTCTTCCTGCCTAGCAGCGAAGCACCAGGCCTTGGAAAGAAGCTTGGCGTAGTGAGCATTGCGACGCTCATTGTCCTTGGCGTTGGCAAGTCTCCAAGCACGCTGTCGAATGCCGTTGTGGGCCAGCTATTCACCGATGGTGACTCTGATTTGGAAGCTCGGCTGTCAAAACCCCATTTTGACACACTGCCAGCTCGCAACCACGGTTCCAAGTTGCGACACTGGCTAACATCAACCCAGTTCAAGCGCGTGCAGCCTCTGAGAATATATTCCAGGCCCTTGCCTGTCACACGTACGCACCCTCGAACGCTGAGGCCCTCAAGCTCGTTGAGGTGTAAGGCGACGCTTTCCAGACTACTGTCACTCACAGCACTACCGCAAAAGGCCAGCCGTAACTCGCGCAATTTTGGCAGGCCAAGGGCCACGACCTCTGTAGCTGTGTCTGAAAGTGCACAACAAAAAGACAAGTCAAGATGAGTCAAGTGCTTGGCAGCGTTGACCAGCGCAACAATGGCATTATCAGACAGGTAGGTACAGTCCGCCAGGCAAAGCTGTGTCAGCTTCTCAAATTTGAACTGAGCCCACGACTGGAAGCCAGCGTCTGTAATTGATGTGCAGCGAGTAAGGGACAAAGACTGCAGGCGACTCGAGGCATGAGCAGCAAGATGACCCATCGATCGATCCGTAATGTGCTTGCAGTATGATAGATTCAGCGTATTCAGCTTTGAGCATCCAATCACAGTACCTGGTGCGGGCGTGGGAGGAGATTGCTGGCCAGTCTTTTCTTTTGCTTTCGCACCCTTTCCCCCTTTCGCCCCTTTCGTTCCCGAGCTTGCTATCACAACTTTACTACTCGCTGGGGGAGGCTCAGGGACAACCCACCCGACAACTCGGCCAAGTAAATTGTCTCCGACTTTTCGGCAGTTGCTCCAGTCGACCTCTTCAAGACCCTTGGCATTCTCACTCATTTCTAAAATCTGGTTCGCTGATACATCCCACAGCGAGCGCATCTTCCATTTTTGCACATTTTTGCCACAAGTCCGCCACAACACGGAGAACCCTTCGTCAGTAATGTGAAAGCAGTTATTCAGATCAATAACAAGTGCTCGAGTCCCGATGAAAGGCGCAAGCACATCGGCAATGACCTGATCAGTAACTCTCCTGTTGTAGTATGAGAGATCGACATATCTGCAGAGCTTTGGAGACGTAGAAACCAGAGTGTTCCAACGCGAACTGACCTGTCGTAGCTTCAAAAGCTCGCCGACGTCGGCATACTGAAAGATGTTGATCAGTATACTGTCCGAAATGGTTGACTGTTGGAGAGAGACCGGTCTATGAGACAGTGTTTTGGCTCGCTTTGCGGGCATATCAAATTCAAAGTCTGGCATGGTAAAGGCTACGGGAGACGACGGCTCCGGGACGAAAGGCCGAGCTCCGTTCTGCCGAGTAGGCGTTGTCGGGGATGCCTCAGTCTGAGCACTCGGCGGCGCAATCGACAGACGCCTCCGGTTCTTCAGATTTTCCATGTCAACACTCAGAAACGGATCGGGATCCTTGGGTTCCATGGTGTCTGAGTCGTCTCTAGCTTTCGTGGATATGCGCTTGAGGGGTGCTCCAAACTCGACGTCGGGCAGACTGAGTCGGGCGAGTATCGGAGTCGGGGGGTCTGATTTGCTCGTCTTCTCTTGCTGGCCCGCATCGGTCATATCGACGTCTTCATCGCGGTAGTTGTATCGGTGCCATGCTGTCTGCTCGACCTGCAATTTGATGTCCGGGGAACAGCGAGACCACAGCTCATCCAGCGTTTCGCCCGGTATCATTAAACACTCCACCGTGGTAATCGACCTGACTGTTGCTGTCCGCCCACTGGACAGGCCCAAGCTCGCGACTTCTCCAAAATATTGTCCTGTTTTTAGCCGTGGTCTTTTTCGAATCGATCTGGTCAGACTCTCTGCCTCCTTATTCGTCTTGGGTTGCTGATGAATTACTTCTGCTTCGCCTCGCACCACGAAGAAGATCTCATGACCTTGAGTGCCCTGGCATATTATGTCGGTGAACGGGGGGTACGTCTTTGGCTGAACACTCAATCCCAGAAAGTGAAGAATATCCGGCGGGAGAGAGGTGAAGAGAGGAAGTTCCGTGAGCGTCTTTCGAATATTGACAAAGCCGCTGCCCAAGGCGCTTCCGAGGGCCGGATCTTCGATTATACTGGGGCTTGGAGATTTCCGCTTCTTGGACTTGATGACTGCTCCGTCCTTGATTGCGCCAGTCTCTCCGGTCGATACTTCGCCCGTGGTCTTTGGGCGCGGAACGAAATCGCTCTTTGGGGATTTGAGGGTCGCGCCACGTTCTGTTCGCTTCTTCTTTAGCACGCTCAGCCTCTCTTGCGCTTCCTGTCGGATGGCCTTTTCCATCTCTGGGAATTTCGGCATGACGGTCTGCAGGTCTTCTTTTTTCAGCACCAACAGAAGACACTTGGTTCGGGCGACGATGGTGGCGGTCCTGGGCATATCCATGAGCACACCAATTTCTCCAAAAAAGGCACCCGCTTTGAGCTCTGCGTAAACGGCCTCGCCGTCTCGAGATGTGACTGCGACAACGCCCCGCACCAGCCAATACATGGCCTTTGCGTCGTCCCCCTCCGTAATGATGTGGTCGTTGTGTCCGTGTACCTGCGGCTTCAAGTGATTGCCAATCGCCACTAAAAACTCTTCCGAGGCGGAGAGAAAGAGGGGAAAGCTTCGAATGCGGTCTACCAGGTCCAATGGCATATCTCGGATCGTTGAGGCAGTAAGCGGAGACGGTCGCATGGGGCGAGTAGGGTTATTTTCGACGTTGAAAGACCTGATGAGCGAAACCGGGTCAGACGCAGCGCCGTTGCCATTGTGATGCCCCGTCCCCCGGTAGTGCGAGGGCGCACTAGGAGAGCGGCTGCGTCTCATTGTGATACTCGGTCGGGATGTCTGGCTGTGGCCGCGTCCTTGTGATGGCAGCTTTCCAAAGGCGCTCTTGGTGATTTGCGGCTACCCGCACCGCACGTTACCAAGCAGCCTCGAAGCTTTAGATTGCCCAATACGGGAGTTTTGCACACTGCTTTCAGCTAATTCGTTCTTGTATATGACCAGAGATTATAAAGTTTCGCTGTTGAGATCGAGAGTGTCGTGGCAAAGCTCGGATCATGCTCTTCCGGGCGAGGCTGACCGACGGCTTCTTGTTACTCATGCGGCAGCAGCTTCGCATAGATACCTCGTAGCAATAATGGTCTGTAGATTCGCGGCGACAATATTCAACACGGAGTTATGCGGTGGGCTAGCGATATCGGGCAGGGATGTCGCGGTGACGGTAGCGGAGCCGCCTGTCACCGACTCTTTCGCAGAAAGGAGTATGGACGTCGATATCGTGGAAAGTTTTGCTATGGCGGGCTTAAGCCAGAGAGGAACTGAAAAATCCGTCCTCTGCAACTTTGGCCACCGTATATTGCTGCCTGGCGGCGTCCAAGGGTGGAAGCGGTCGCGTACCGGCAGCCAACAGTCTGTGTCTAAGCCAGTATTAGCAACAGCAGCGGCCCGGCGAAGTGGCGGAGAGGTGTCTCACAGGAGATGCTGAATTAGTAAAAAGTGATTCGGGAATGCTATATCGTCAAGAGCCGGCGTGGGCCGCAAGCGTAAAGGGGTCTCGTAGGCCGCCTCGGCAGACTCGAGCATCAGTGAGCAGATCAGATAGTGTCACGGCTTTTGGCTCCAGGGAAGATGATGGAGGAGGGTCGATGGACGGCCAGAGGGTCGCTGGTCATGGCGCAAACCAAAGAGACACGCGCACACATGCACACACACGCATACGCCATACAGTCTAGCAGACAATAAGACGGGCGATGGGGATGGATGCCGCAGCTTGTTGACGTTAGACGTGGGGTAGTAGCTTCACCTGGGTGGGTTCCATGTCGTTTTAGCTGTTGGCGCCGTGGCGGGCAGAGCTTGCAGAGGCCCTGCAGCGGCCTTGCAGCGCTGAAAACAACAGCCGAGACGGCCGTGGGGATCAGCGGCAATCCCGAAACCGCTACGATTTGCTGGACTGTTGGCGTGGGATTGGGATTGGGAGGATGAGCCCGAGAGAGCCCCCCATGTACCGGCACAGGGAGGCTCAACGGTCAACAAGGCTTGCAAGCCCTGATCCTGCTAGGCTCTGCAGACCAACAGGGGAACGCAGGGGAGAGGAAAATTCTGTCTGGTGGCCGCATTGTCTCGATGCCGCACAATACTATACGGTTTGTTATTTAATTCATCGGAGAAGCGATGCCAGCGCAGCATTCTCTTTCCGCTGCTCTCTACTCTCCTACTGTAGGCAGCTTTAGTACCACTACCCGTCTGCTGGTACTTGACGGCTCTCGCTCTAGATTCGCTGGCATGCGCTATTGATCGTTGCTTAGCCGGAGAGCTGAGCTACCCTTGCCGAAATCTGGAATGACGCCAGTGGCGCCAATGCCTCATGTTCCGTCCCCTGAGAAACGTGGCAGGCAGCCTTTCTAGGCGAGCCGAAGAAGAAGAAAGAAAACGACGACGTAGAAGGCTGGAATCTTGTCTGCACATTCTCGGCAAATAATCTGCATCCAGCAGGGATTCGGGCGCACGCAAGGGGTCAGAAACACGCAAGGGGTCAGAAACAAGCGACCGGGCGAGGTGCCGCAAAAATCGCAAATCCTCCAACCCAGGAGATCCATCTAGCGGCACGAAAACGTATATGGGTACATGCCCGCATATGAGCACTCGTGTGTGTGTATCAATACACGGCGCCCCAACGAGGCACCGCGAATCCTTCAAGGCTGACGTCTCACTCTGATCCCAAGTATTACTGCGTTCCAAGGCACCAAATGACCAGCCAACCGGCCGATGCTACCTACCCACGCACCAACTCGGCCTCCATCTCAGTGAGCAACAAGTACCTACGGAGCAGCAGCCGCAAATCCTTCCTTCGGCGCACGGGCCGCTAGGCAATCCTTGCTTTCGGGATGGAACAAGGACCAGGGGAGACCCTAGCTGCACCTAGAAGATTGTTGGAAGCCCTCTGCACCCGTAGTGAGATTCCATAATCCATGTACCTCTCTTTTGTGCAGCAGGCCATCGTCCGAGATCGAGCCCAGGATATGAGACAACGAAGTTGTGAATTGATGAGAGGATAACGAAAAGGAAAAGAGGCGTAAAACAGTGTAAATAAGAGAAATGGAAAGTTTGAAAAATCATCCAGCACCCTCGCTCTATTAACCAGCACTCTAGCATAGGTGAGCACTGCTACTGCAAGGTACTACTGCTATTGCTATAATTTAGTCTATAACATAATTTAAGAGAAAAATTTTATATAGATCAGTTGCTTTACCACGCTACAGCTGGGTGCGTTGAATAATTGAACTGGGTTTCTGATTTAGTTTAAAAAAAAAGGGAGTATATTCCAGAATACTGCACAAGTCGGTAATCTCTCCCGTCCCTTGCATATTCCTCCGTCCTGATAAGGCGCTCTTCCTAACGCATCACTCAAATGCGCCCTAGCGACAGGCTTTTCCGCAAGCGACGCTTACAATATTACACCTTGGGCATAGGCGTACATCTACAATAAGAATTATAAATAGAACTCGATGCTCACCAACCAACAGCCTTAGCGACCTTGATAGAGGCACTACTAAGGACCATCTAAGTAATAACTAGCAGCAGCATGGATGCACTGCTCCCTGCTATTTCTGCTAGCATTCTCTTTCGTGGTGAAATTACTACTAGTTCCAGCAGTTACTATCCTTTAGTCTACTACCTGCTCGTAGCGGCATTACTCCCGTCTGACACAGAAGCCGAAAGAGAGGAATGTCCAACAAGGTACCCGTGTAGTACTTGCGGCACCACTCAGTTTGAATTGCAACACCTTTGCTCAAAACAGGTGCACCCGATTCTCGCCTCTTTCTTCTTTTATACGTTGCCGATCATATCTCAACAGCCTTCTCCCATGCCCACGTCAGCACACCAATGTCGATTAAAGAGGCCATGCAGGATGGCCTCCAAGCTGACCAGAGCCCTTTGTTTCATTCCACATGCAATTTCACTGGACAAATCCGTCGTCACCATTGGCCGCCTTGCCCTTTTATCCCGTGCTTATCAATCCTTGTTTCAATACGAGTGTCATAACGGACTTACTCGGGTACACAAGCACAGGCTTGTTTCACACCACTGTGATATAAACGTTACATTAGTACCTGCCTTGGTACATGATCAATTGTCCTGATCTCTCAGTAGATCGATCAAGATAATTAAAAGATGCATCGATCTAGTGGCCGTTTCAAGCCTATACTTTGCAAAAAAAGCGTGTGCCAATGCATGAATCATAATCATATTATCGGTATTCAGCCGCAGTGATGAATAAACATCTACCTGATCCTCGCAACTCTACCGAGGCATGCTCCAACACGCAGCTAAATGACACCGGTACTGCTTCGCGGGAAGTGGTCTTGAAACACTGCAAAAGGCAGGTAGCATGTGTTTCGCAAACAAATGCATTGCCAAATCCAGTCCATCAGCCAATCGTCATCAAAACAGGCATGTCCCACTCATCCACAGCCTCGGAGATTTCCGAACCATGTTTTCTTTTCCCGTCTTCTTTGACACCCCTCGGCACTCGTACCGCATCGCCTCCTTCGGCTTCACATGCAAAACATGGCTTCATATCTATTTTGCAGCTTCCCAATTGGGAGCTTTGAACACTTGCCCACGGCCAAAACGTAGGCCCAAAAATTGAGACCAGAGTTCCCTTGATCAAATCACTTTACCCAACGCCGCGGATATGGTTCCGTAATCCAAACGCTTTTGTTTCTCCTATTTCATGCCCTTATTGGTCAGTGCTCTTGAGGAACATCTTGAAAACTTCCGAGTCTGTACACTCCTCTGACGGGTAGCCAAGATCTTCAAGGAACTGTTCCAAATCGGCGTTCTCTTCCGGCGGGCATTGGATCCCTGCTAACACCTTGGCAACATCGCCGCCATACGTGCGATACTGGAAAAGGCTGATGTTGAACTTTGGTCTCAAAGTCGTCAGGAACTTTTCCAGCGCTCCCGGCCGCTCGGGGAAGTTGAACATGAAGAGTCTTTCGTTTGTGACGCCCGTTCGCCCGCCGATGAGATAGCGCACATGGCTCTTGGCGAGCTCGTCGTTGGATAGATCCGTTACCTCCATACCCTCCTCTCGGATGCGCTCCATGAGCGTCCGCACCTCTTCGGCCCTTTGGGCGGCCGGGACTGTTATGGAAAGGCCTATAAGCACCTTGGCAACCTCGCCAGGGGAGTAACGGTAGGAAAACTCGGTGACAGGCCGAGGCATGATGGTGTCGACAAGCTTGGCGAAAGCTCCGGGCCGTTCCGGGATGGTAGCGGCCATCAGAACTTCCTTGCCCTCACCTAGCGCAGCGCGCTCGGCGACAAATCTCATCCGATCAAAGTTCATGTTGGCGCCGGAGGTCACCGCGATGAGCGTCCTCTTGGCATTTTGAGATGGCTTCTGGGCAACGTATTTCTTTAGGCCAGCGATGGACAAGGCGCCCGCCGGCTCCAGGCCGGATCGGGTATCGTCGTACATGTCCTTGATGGCGGCGCAGATCTCGTCGGTGGTGACCTCGATGACATCGTCGACAACCTCGCGGCAAATGCGGAAAGTTTCCTCTCCTGGGACCTTGACGGCTGCACCATCCGCAAACAAACCAACTTCGGAGAGCGTGACTCTCCTCCCCAGTTTCAAAGATTGCGCCATGGCATTCGCATCAGATGCTTCAACGCCAATGATCTTCACATGGGGTGCCATCCGCTTGACAAACAAGCCGATACCGGCAATGAGCCCTCCGCCTCCAACGCCGCAAAAGATGGCTTCAACATTGGCCATGTTGACCTGCGCAAACATTTCATTGCCAATGGTTCCCTGTCCAGCAATCACGTATGGGTCGTCAAAGGGCGGGATGTTGATGAGGCCATTCTGCTTTGCGCGGCGGGCACACTCTTCCTTGGCGGCGTCAAAGTCCGCGCCATGCAAAACGACATGGCCGCCTAGACGCGCAACATTCAAGTGCTTGATGCTGGGTGTGCCCTCTGGCATGACAATGGTGGCGGGGATCTTGAGTTTCCTGGCAGAGTATGCCACTCCCTGGGCATGGTTGCCGGCGGAGCAGCAGACAACGCCCTTCCAGCTTTTGGCAGGGTCGAGATGCGCCATCTTGTTGTATGCGCCACGTAGCTTGAAGCTGAAGACGGGCTGCAGGTCCTCGCGCTTCAGCAGCACATTGCACTCGAGTCGGTTGCTCAAGTTGACGGCCGGGGTGAGAGGCGTCGTCTTGCAGGCCTCGTAGACTCGTGAGGTTGCGCTGGCAATCATGCGCAGATACTACATGCGCAAAGGCCCGTCTGTCAGTCTTGCAGACTTGAGCTTGCTGGAGAACAAGGAGAAAAAGAGAGGCAATTCTACTCACATCGGGATAGCCATCTGCAAGGCGGTATTCCTCCGGGACATACGATGCGGCGTCTTCTTCCCTTCCGGACGGCGGTGTTGGATTGGCGCTGTACTCGGTCAGGGCCATGGCCTTCATGTGCGATGACATTGAAGGCCGGCGAGTGCCATTGACGCCGCCCGCAGCGCCGTTGGGCGTCAGCGATGCGCCATTGAGACCCGCCATCTCGGATGAGTATCAGCAGGTCGCTGCTGGATTTCCGTTATTTGTGGTGGAATTGGACGAGTGTTTGCTGCAATGTAGAAGAAGAAAGTGAGTCCTCTTGTAGCGAGGGATGGGATGATTGCCCTCCGATAAATCGGCCCCTCCGAGTTTTTTCTGGGGACAAAATGTGGCGTCACAGACCTTGGCACCCTTTGAAACTTGATGAATAACAACACGAGAACAGAGGCTTTCGAACCTTTTATGTTAAAAATTGGGGCTTTTTTGCTTCAACACCACACATGACTTGTGCAAATTGTAAGACACACCAAATACGCCGAGACGTAAGAGTAAGAGTAAACAAGACGTAAAGTGAACCCAAGCGATCGAGCAAGGCCTGACTCAGTTAAGAATGACGCGCGCAGCGCATCGATATCGGAGCCCACTCAGAGCGCTCTCTGTTATCTTGCTGCGTGAACAACTCAGCAGCATATGCACATGCACGCATTTTAATTTGCAGAGGGTAATACAGCATTATCAGAGCTGCCACACTCACAAGCAAATGCAATTTACACTCATTCTACTACGACTATTGCCATCTTTTTTAATCTTTGGAGCAAAATGTGAGTACCAGACTATGGCGAGTGACTCCACATAGTATACATTTCTGAGAATACTCTACGTACTGTATACCTCTCTCGACAGCTAAAAGCGACACTTTCAAGCCAAGATATCCAACATGACCAGTATATGCCTGGTGTTTGTTATTCTGAAGCTGAATACTCAAGGGGCATTTCAATCTTGCCTCAATTACCTATTCAACGAGGGCATCCATCAATAGAGAGAGAGCTGGCTGAGCTTCTCTACTCCCCACGGATCTTTGCTCACGTATTTCAACCCCTCAACATCCCTTTGCTGCAATGTCTTGGTCATGGCCTCTTTAACGGCCCTGCCTTGCCCCTCTTGCAAGAATTTCCGCAAGACACCTGCTGCCAGAACCAGCAAAGCATCCGACGGCTCCGTCTTCTTGTCGCCTTGAGGGCTCATCTGGCCTGCAGCCACCGCGAGCGGGAGGCCAGCGGCGAATGGCAGCTCGTCCGGCTTGTTTGATAAAACGCCAGCACCCAAGATTCCCGCATAGCCCTCGCTCAGCCTCTCTAGGAATCGCCATGCCTCGTGATGCATGGTGAAGAGGTTGAAGCGGATGCCTGGGAGTTCAGCCTGGAGGCCCTGAGCCAGCTTGCGTATAAGCCCGGGTGGGAGGAGGCGTGCATTTTCGACCTGGGTAATTTGTATCATTGTCAACAGGGGCTTTTCAAGGAAATGTTAATGATGGAAAACAACTTACTCTTGCCTCTTCCACCTTATCCTTGAATTCTGGCTGGATGTGATCTCTGCTGTTCGTGTACTGCTTGAGAATGCCTTCATTCAAAGCGTTCTCGACTGCGGCAGATGACCACGGCACGCGCTCTCCAGGGTGCTCAAGGCGATGGTTCGTTGCCAAGGTCAAGTATCCCATAAACTTCAAGTTTCGTCGGTTGGCCGCGTTTATCTTGAGCTTGCCTTTGCGCCTCTCAGCCGCCCAATTAGTAACAGACGTGCCTATGCTCAAGCAGTAGTTTTTAAAGTAAGCTTCTCGGTTCGTCGGCAGGTCGCCAACGAAAAACGACGGATTGCCCTGCATCTTCCAGAGATCTTCAAGGTCCTCCCACACCAGACTGTCGGCAAGCATCTTCTCCTTCCGAAGCGCATGATACAGCTGCGTCACGCCCACAAGCGCTCCGGGGCCCGCCAAGTAAGGCCCGCCGGAAGAGTGCAAGGCCGAGCGCATATTGTGTATCAAGAGGCCGCAGTGTAAGGGGTTGCGACGAAGGAACTTGAATTCCGGCGCAATCTCGTTGGGGAACAGGCCCGCGTCTGATACCAGCTTGCGAGCTGCCCAGATTGGGTCCTTGTCCCATCTCGTGGCGGCGCTGAGAACCCGTGAGCGTTCTTTGTTGGAGACTGGGATTTCGAGCATTGAGTGCTTGATTTTGAGGCTTTCTTGCTGGAATTCTCGGTAACCACGATCACACTCCGGGCCAAGAGACTGCAGAATATCAAGATAGATCTGAAAGGCCCAGCATAGCCAGAGAGGCGCAGTCTTGTTAGGCTCGTTCATCATGTAAGCCATTCCACGAGTCAACTCGTCGACTATACTCGAAGCCCCGAGTTTCCATGCCAGAAAACTTACGTCTGGCAGGATCTCCAGCATCGCCGTCATGTCTTGCTTCCATTTCTGGCGGTTGGTCGTTCCAGAACCACCCAGCTTCTCGTCATACCAGCCAAAACTGCCGTTGTACGATTGCAGATGCATCTCATCGCGCTGGGTAGACTGCAAGTAGCTAATCAGCATCGTCATGGGATTCATCATGCATACATCTGCCAGGTCGTACGCCTTGAGGTTATAGGGGTCACCTCGCTGCTTATCCTCATGAATGTCGATTCCAAATGCACTGCATATCCTGGCAAAATATAGGTTGGCAACATAGGCGCCGCCGTCCAGTTTGCTGAACAATGGGTCTACTTCTTCTTCAATGTTGCGGGCAAGTTCAAAGGCCATGTTGGTGGCAACAGAAACAGCCGCAAGGTCCAGCTTGCCAGAAGCGTAGTCGGCCCACAAAGTTTTGATCTCGCTCCTGAGGCGGCGATAGTCGTCCAAGAGAGCAATGTACGCGAAAAGGATGTCCAAGGCGGAGTCTCCCTGTTCCGCGACATATTTGACATCGGTTGAAGGTGCCGGAATAGCGGCATCGGGAGAATTCTTAAACTCTGCAGAAGTATAATACACTTCCAGAGGGCTGAAGAAGTTGTCGTCCAGACCTCTCGACTTGGCATCTGCTTTGGCGTCTACGCTGAATGAGACGGCTCCCATAAGGGGCTTCAAGTGATGACGGACTTTTTCGAGTACGCCTACAAAGAAAGAGTGGCGATCGTTGGAGGCGGCATTCAATTCCACTCCGCTTGATGTGAGACGGTCTGAGAAGCTCTTTCGCACTATCATGAACCGCTGTTAGCCCTCTACTCTTCTTTTTCCATTCACCACATGACTTTATCCTAAAATAATCAAGAAAATACCAACCTTGTATAACACGCTCAAGTGCAATAGAAAAATATTTGGGGATTTTGACATCATTCACCTTGGACACAAACTGTGCCAAGGGCTCAAACTCTTTGATCTTGATGAGATATGTGGGCTTCTTGGAAGCGGTACCACTGCCATCAACGCCGGCAGACGCCTCTGATGTGGTCGTTGTCGGCTTTTTGGGCTGATTTGACGCCTGATTCTTGGCCATTTTTCGAGCTTTCCCCTTGAGCCTGCCCCCAACGGCTGCTGGAGGATTTGCCGTTGATGGAGTGGCGGTGGCAGCATAGCCGTGGGTTTTGGCCGTCACAGCCAGCCATTCGGCCACCAAGTCGGTGTCGGCCTTGTACTGCTGGTAAATGCCCTGAGCGACGGAATTGGCATTTTGTTTTCCCTTGGATTCGTATTCTTATTTTTGGTTATAAGGGCAGCAAGTTAATTTTGCAATTGGGTTGAAGAGACGAGTAGACACTGTTACCATTTTGTTACAACTGCGGCAACTAGTGGAGGTGGAGTTCAAGTGGGCTGTTGCGTGAGCGCCGTTCTGAGGAGAGACTAAAACAGGGCACTGATCAGCCTGGATGATATGTTACTCGTTCTATATCCAGGTTAAGAGCTATATAACTATCAGTCATTCGTGAATAGGATGCCGAGATTGTTGAGATTGAATCGGCGAAGCCGCCAATTAGCGATTGATGGCGAGGTAGATGCAGCGTCGATAACGGATTATCACATGAATGTATACATCCCAGCTTGTAGAGCAGCGGCAAGGTATCGCAGTAGAACATTAGAGCTATGTGCTTAAGGTTACAAGATTCCGTATACTTCAAAAATTATAACACTAATACATCTTATTCATATAGCAACAAAATCAATATTCTAGATTCATAATGAAGTATATACAAAGAATTGAAACCGTTAAAAACCAAAACGCCCGCTTTCCCTCGTCCAATTGTCATCGTCTCAAAATCATGATTTGCGAGGCTTCTGAATAGCCTGTTCATACGACGGCAAGCCATCCATTGCACTCGAGCTTCCCAAGTCTCTGCTTCGATCGCGACTTTGCTCATCCCTCCATCTGTACCCCTCAGGCGCTCCCGACGGCATGCGATCTCTATAAGAACCGGCCACGGACTGCGCCTCGGAAGATGCGCCTCTTTGCGCAGGGCCTTGTCCGTGGTTTGTGTAAGATACGCCGCTGACGGGCTGAGAGGGTGCCGGGCCTGCTGCACGGGAGCGCGAGCCAGAGCTCATGAGAGACATGATCATATCGTTGCGCTCGGCCTTGCGCTCGGCCTTGCGCATTCTTCGTTCCATGCGGCGGGTTGCACGGTCACTGCCCGTCATGTGTGAACATGTACCGTATGCGGCAAAGGGGGCATGGCAAGCGGCGTTGTTGCCGCTGTAGTTGTTGTTGGCGTAGCCATTGTTGTAGCCTCTGGTGTAGCCGTTGCTGTTGTATCCGTTGTTGTAGCCGTTGTTGTAGCCGTTGTTGTTGTTGCCGTTGTAGCCTGGGTTGCTGCCGTTGTGGTCGCTAGCCAGGGCTCGGGCAGCTGCTGCAACGAGGCCAATAACCAAGGCCATTGCTGTTGTTGAGGATGAGGTTGAGGATGAGATTGGAGGTGATGTAATTTGTTCGATAACAAGCAATGTTATCCCGAATTTGTGCGAGAATGTCAAGTCGTGACGTGGACGAGTATTAACGGCTTAAAGATGGACTTGTATACAGCCAAGGACTATAAGATGGGTGTGCGTGTAAAAGGCGATGTAATGTAGTGTAATGTAGAGTATTGCAATAAAGAAGGAAAAATATGGATGGCTCTTATGGGTATTATATAACACAAGACTTGTTCGATGATGAGAATGACAAATAATGATAATACGACAAAAGCAGATGCAGATACGCTTCTATGCTCGCCTCGCCGCCAGCCTCAGCGGCACCGCCTCCTCCTACAGCCATGTCCAAACAGCCCAGCAGTGGCTCAGCCCCAGCACGCGGCCTCCAAAAGCAGCTAAAACCTCCAAGCAAAGCGACCTTCGAATCGATCTGCTCGATGTGGCCTAGCGCTGCCATCCATCGGCTCCGGTCCACTGTCGGGGCCAAAATCTCGACCCAATCGGCCACCAGCCAGCATTGATTGAATGGCGGACTCGGAGCTTTACGAGCTGTCTCTGCGCCGACTCTTCTCGCTTTCGTTTCAATTTCCCATCTGGGAAAACTCTGGCGCTAACACGCGAAAGAAGAAGCATCACGCGATCCACTACATGTACCTATATACACGTAGGTTATACACCCAAGTAATACACATTGGTAGGTACCTCGTCAACCAACTGTCCCCGACTCAGAATCACGATTTGCGAGGCCCGTGAACGACCTGTTCAATAGGGCGGCAAGTCATTCACAGATGAGCCCGCACCTGCTCCCAGGTCTCTGTCTCTGCCTCTTTGGCTCACCGGCCGGTTGTAGCTCTGCTCGTCCCTCCATCGGTAGCCCTCAGGCGCTCCCGCAGGCACTTGGTCTCTGTAAGAGCCGGCCATGGACCCCCGTGCCTCTGAGGAATGGTACACGCCCCTTGGCGCTGGGCCCTCGCCATGGTTCATACAAGGCGGTGTCGGCTGTGGAGGTGCTGGCGCTGCTGAGCGAGAGCCAGAGCCAGAGCTCATCGGGGACATGGCCGTGGCGGCGTCCGAGGCCCGGCTCGCGATTCGATCCGTACGGCGGTCTGCACGGCGACCAGCCGCAGATGCGGCACGGGGAGCATTGTTGTGCCTGCGATTGTTGTTGTAGCTATGGCCGTTGCCGTTGTAGCCCGGGCTGCTGCTGTCATCGCTGGACAGGATTCGGGTGGCTGCTGCAATAAGGCCAATAACGAATGCCATTGCTATTGTTGACGCTGCGTTGAGGATGAGGCTAGTGTAATGTATATGATGATGAGGCAATATCACTCCGAATAGATACGAGGAGGGCAGGTTATGACGTGGACTTGTATATATAACTTGTATAAAGACAAGGTAAAGTAATGCAGTGGAAATAAAGAAGAAGGAAAGAAGAAGACGGACGGCTCTTGAATTATATAAATGGCGACTTGTTTGATGACGGGAATTACAAATATCTAGGAACCTCAAACCTACTAGTAGTAGTAAATACGACAACCAAGATCAAGATACGCTCGACGGCTTTTACACCCACCTCACCTTGCCGCCTGACATTGAGCCATTACCAGCCTCAACGGTAGCACCGCCTCCTCCTATTGCCAGGCCTCCGGCGAACCAGCCAGCTAAAATCTTGAAAGCCATGAAAATAACTGAAGCCATCTCGACTGCTGCTCAACATGGCCTGGCACCGTCATCTTCCACCGGCCCCGGCCTCCACCATCGGTGCCGCGGGGGGACCATCTCCACTCGGAGCTGAACGATACCGAGCTGAACGATACCGAGCTGAACGATACCGAGCTGCATTAGCGTCGACTCTTTCTTCAATCCTTTCCATCGTCTTTGCCCCGGTCAGAAGAACAGAAGAGGCGCCACAGCCTCGTTCATGACGCCTGCAATTGCGAAATGTCCCAATAGGCGCGAAGCAGAGCGACGCCCCCCGCCTGCGTTTCCACCGTCCTTCCCCTGCCGCGATCATTGGCATCGCCGTCGTGTGGCCCTTGCATGACTGTTTCCGCCGTCTCTGCCATGTCCATGCTCCTTAGTTCCAGTCTCACGCTTGACGTCAACGGGGCTTGTTTTTCCTGGATCCCCTTCCCAGTGCCTGGAAGCCATCTTGCCCTTGGACCCCAGACCTCGTCCTGGGGAGTCCCGTAGTTACGATAGTCGGTGGAGTTTACGGCCTTGTGATTGATCCCGTCTGTCTCTGGCGAAACCTGAATGTTGCCAAAGACGCCTGATCCCCACCACATGCCGAAGCGGCCTCTGCTGTCTCGAGTCCTCAATGCTGCCAGAGCGTTGTGCTTGATCCAGCCAAGATACGCCCCGCAGGCTGCTGTATGAGCTGCCTTGACGTGGTCGAAGCTATCCATGTTGAGAGCATTGCCGTCGTTTACATCATCCCACTGTAGAGGCCGACAAAATGCGTTCAAGTGGTGAAAGTATATCCCTTTAAACGTCTGCCCATCCTGGGAGCAGGTGCCACTTGCATCACATTCCTCTTCTAGAATGCCTCCACGGCCGAGGCCTCTCCATTTTGGTAGTTTTGACGACACTCCTACCAAGTCTATCGGTTGGTTCGTCTCAAGACTCCAACCAGTGGCTTTGATGACTGCTTGAATCAGGTTATGCCCGTCTGCAAGATACGAAGGGCTCCCCGTCACGTCCCACAGCCCCCTTTGGCCCGTCAACAGCACTCCCTGGTTGTAAGTGTACACCATTTCATCGCGGACATCGCACTCCACATTGCCGGGCTTCTGTCGATCAATATGGAAGCCATCAACAAACAGGCCTTGGCTGTTGGTCATGTTACTATCCCTAAGCCATTTGTAGCCCTCGATAGCTGCTTGAAGATGCAGGGGGTCTTTATCAACGGCGGTTCCGTTGTTGAGGTACTGGTACATGGAAATAGAGGCCGAGACGTAAAGCTCATTCGTAATGGCATTCTTGTAAGGCTCTAGGCGGGGATTCCAGACCATGCCGCCGTGGCACAGCGCAGTATCCCATCCCTGTGCGCCGAGTAGCCAAAAACTCTTGGCCCGGCTTTGGAACGAAGGGATCCAAAACTGACCGCGCCAAGGCAGCGATGCCAGGGCTTCATGAACGTCAGTTGGGAAACTAGCATTGAAATTGGACTCAGTCCCGGGGAAATGGAGGCTGTTGTGCAATCGAGCAAAGTTGACGGCCTCTATCCAGCCAAGCACCACCCATAATATATCGTCAAAAGCCTGAATTCGAGCATTCCAAGTCAATAAAGCATCCAAGGCCAAGGAAAAAAGAGCGCACATACCTGATCTCGGATGGCCACTACATCCTGCTCAAAATGATAGCCAATAACTTGATCGTAAACCGACGAGATGAGATTCTCATGTGCTCCTCGAATAGTCGGGTTACTGCTCAGAAGTAACGAGTCTTGCGACTTCGTAAGGGTCGACAGCATGCCAATAACTACAGTTTCTGTAACTGCGGCAGTCCAGTCTATTGCTGATGGCCATGTGTTTCTTCCTATCTGGTAGTATTCATTCTGAAGCACAGCAAGCGCCGAAAACGCGCCTTCTAGGATGTCGGTGCCGGCGTGATCAGACACAGACGTGTTTATCGCATTGGGGAGGAAATTATCTGGCGCTGGACGACAATTGGTAATATCGGTCGCGGCCACAGGGCAGTCTTCTTTTTCATATAGCCCAGGGGCACCAATCACAACGGGTAGAAAAGCAAAACCAACGACAGCATGCACAGTAAGGAGTCGACTCATGGCTAAAGGGAATGAAAGTGATCAGTCATGTATGAAGTAGCTGCGGCGGGTATACCGGATATCTTTAGATGTTTGGTTAAAGAGAGTTTGTTGACCGTTGATTCTAGTATTCGTGGAACCGGCGCAAAAATGGCAATCTTCTGTTGTGTATTCTTGGCCTCAGAATCTACCCATGGAGAGCTGGACAAGTGCCTGAGAAGACACAGACAAGCCCTTGTAGTAGAGAGACTGATGCGGCTAGTGACGATGTATGTCAGTACAAATCCTATTAGAAATATTGATCTGCATCTATACGCATATAAAAGACACTGCAGGAACATTTCAAGAACATTTCAGAAAGACAATTAGGAAGATACCGAAATCAGTACCAAGTGAGTGTCTGACAGTAGAATAAGACATACCATACCCTGTAATCTTGCAATTACTAGGTGGTATAATCCATGGCCAATGCAGAACAGGAATATGATCCGTTCTCAAAATGAAATAGTTTAGTGATGGAGTATATATCCGCCAACTCAATACGCTGAGATTTAAAAGAATATCGCTGATGTTGTAAAGATCAAGGAGATTGATAGACTGCTGATTGTCGCTGAGGGGTAGATCCACAGCCCCGTGACCAAATGAAGGGATTGGTATGCTCGGCACTCACTAGCTGCTCTTAAATCGAAGAGGCCTAAAGTGACGACTGGAAAGGTATTTCACATTGAGAGCGGTACATTTCAAGATTTTCAATGATTTTTCTGTCATGGGTCAAGTTGCTTGCAGGGCAGCACCTCGTATGGGACTGGTGTAGTAGCAGTAGCAGCTCTAAATTGTGTACCGTGTACTTGGTGCACCGTCATGATTTACCCTCCAGAGCGCAGTTGAAGATGATGAATAATCCAGAAAATGAAGGTATATACATGAAATGAAAATAAATCACTACTTTGTATATAAAGCGAAGCTGTATCCATGCATGTACCAATTCCTGCAATCGCTCGATCGAATCGCAACTTAAAACTAGATTGTGCATAAGTTCATTTTAAGCTGGTGGTTTCACTGCCAGGGATACCCTATCTATGGCACTGCGCTATTTTCATGCTCTCGTCAATCATGCGTTCCCTTTTCCATCTTCGACTTTGCTCAATATTTACATTCATCCACATCTCTCCATGGCTGAATTGCGATAAACAACGCCGCATCATACTTTTGCACGCTTCTGTGGCTGGTTGGCACGGGAGCGATAGTAGCGGTACCAAAAAGCCCTGCAACGGGGCCTGCCGCGCGCAAGTACAGTACTTGCATATGCCGCCTTCTGCTTGGCCTGTTAGCAGGAGAGCCCCCCAAAAGCGAGAAACCCCGCCCCGCCAAAAGCCTGTCTGGGGTTTGTTTACTTTCACGCCAAAACAAGCCGCCCAGGGATCGTCTCGTTTCCAGCTTCCACTTCCAGCCCCGGTCCTTGCTTTTCACCTCCCGCAACTCCAAACCTCGACTTCGACTGCGGCTGCACCACGCCTGGCTGCTGCTTCGACATCCGAACTCGACGCGTCCCCAGCCAGATTCACAGCGCCTGCCCTTGCAGCGTCCGTCCGCCTGGCGCATCCGCCCTTTGCTCCGATCAACAATATCCAGAACGCGACGCGCGAGCTTGCATCCGCTTACCGCCATCAACCCCCAAAATAGCCACCGTCGACTCTCTGCAGCTCCAGCATCGCGTGCGGCGCGTGGCAGGGCATTGCCATGGAGTCCGACGCAGTTACCAGATATCGTTCGCGCATTCTTAGGGAAATGAACGCCAACCGCGAAAATCCCTTCAATTCCCCGCCTTCGTCCACCGGCAGAGCGAGCCCGACCCTGTCATCCGTCTTTTCAGATCCCGACGGCGAGTCCACACGCCTGTTGAACCAGGACATTGCCCGCGTTACGGCTCCCAAGAAGCTGCCCATCAACTGGGAAGCTGCGCACCGCAAATGGCCCGAGTTCTACGCCCAGCCCAAGAAGAACCTTGCCATCCTCGACGACCAGACAGACACCAAGCCGTTGGTTGAAGTCCCACGCTCTAAGAACGAAAGAAAGACGGCGCAAATCATTCCCAAGTACATTGACGATACCACCGAGGACGCCTGGAACGGTTCCAAGAGAACGCGCTCCGAAATGCAGCCGCGCGTCGACAACGAGCCTGACCTGCCGCAAATTATTTCACGCGCGCCCATTAGAAAACTCTCCAACTACGGCCTGGCAAAAGGTGCCGTTCACAACCCCAGCCCTCTGTCCAAGGTACACGTTCAATCCCCGCCCAGAGAGCGGGCCAGTGAAAGGGAGCGACAGGCCTCTATCGAAAAAGCCTTGGAAATACTGCGCAAGGCATCTTCTACCCCTGGTGATTTAAATCGACGAGTATCAACCCACGACCAAAGCTCGCCCATTCTGTCTTCTGCCAAATCTAGCTTGACAGCTGTTCCTCCGTCACCCCCTCCCTTAATGTCTAGCCCTGTACACGAGACACCGAATGGCCGCTCATTCTTCATGCCAGACATTTCGCATCTTGATGACTTTGTTACGGGCACTTTGAGATTCAACGGAGCAATGAAGGACGGCGTACCCATTCTTGTTAAACACGGCCAAGTACACGACCAGAAGGAGAGGCCTTTTGGCTTGCGACATGCAGAAATCGATGGTGTCAAGATCCCTGAAGATGAAGAGAAGATCTTTATATCAATGGATATGATCCGTGAAGAAATCGTCTCTCTCCAAGAGCATCATGACAAAATTCAAGACTATGCCGGCAGCCTTCAGCACGAGGTGGAGAGGCTCGAGGCTCAGCTGAGATCATCTCGCAAGGGTATAGACGGAGAGCCCAACATCTTTGGCGTCAATGAGCAAGTTTTGGCTCAAAAGAAGGGTAAATTTGAGATGCTTTCTCCTTTTTACATCGTGATGACTGGTTACTGACTGGCATGTAGCACTCGAAGCTGAAGTAGCGTCACTCCAAAAGCGGCTGGATCAGGCGACGCATCGAATCAGCACAAGTGATATTGAAAACGATACTTTGGCCCAAGAGCGAGACCGTGTCATCAGCCGCCTGCAAGAGGCTTGCGAAGATATCAACAAATTGACTCGGAAGCTGAGCGTCAAAGAGAAAGAATTAGAAACTACCCACAAGCAGCTGAATTCAACCGGACAGATGCGCCAAGACAACGATACTCTGCGTCGGGACGTTGCAGCCCTGAAGCAGGGTCGAAGCACCTTGCAACAAGATAATGCATCGCTTCGGGCAGAAATCGATGAACTGCGGCGTGCACAGCGGACTTTCCTTAACGAAGCTCAGTCCTTGCGATCTGATGGCAATGGCCTTCGGCAGGACCACCAATCCCTTGTCAACGAAAATAGATCTTTGCGAGCCAACAACAAGACTCTGATGGACGACAATGAGGATCTCCGAGAGCATCTGGATGTTATCCAACACGATCTTGACGTCGCTCGCGAGGAAATTGAAACGCTTCGACAACAAGTGCAAGTGATGAGGCAAGAGAAGAAGACACTGCGCGAAGACAACGATAGCCTAGTCCGGCACAACGACAAATACTTCAACGAGAACAAGACTCTTCGTCGTGAGAACTCTGGTTTTGAGCGTAGCATTCACGATTTGCATGAACAAAACATCAAGCTGAGAGATGAGCTTCAAGGAGTGAAGAAGCAATTCGACCGCTACCGACCGTCCGGTAAGAACGATTTCCCCACTCGGCACGAGGAAGAGACCGAAGAAAACATGACATCGGCTTTCTTCGTTCCCGACATTACCCTCAAGACAAATGATACCGGTCCAGCTGATGCCACTGAATCAAAAGACATGCCGGATCTACCCGAATTGACAACGCATACCGACGACCTCATGACTGGCAGCAATGAAGCACAGAAACGTGAGGCTGCCTCACACAGCGACAAGGCTGATGCACGACACCGATCTAAGAGCAGCGTAAAGTCATCACCATCGAAGAATACTGGCACCGCTCAAAAGGTTGCTTTTGATCTCCCCGACAAATCGACCGGAAAGCCGTTGCAAGGATCCAAGTCTACGGTAGCAAATCAGGGCAGCAAACGCCGAAGCGCGAGCAGACTTTCCCTGGATCCCTTTGGCGACGATGATACGACGGGCATGCTGTCTGTGGACAACATCACTCAGGACCTGGCCGTATCTCTGAATTTGACCACAACGGACCACAAAGGCAAAGAGACGAAGCAGCCTCGAGGCCTGAACACCGAAAAGCCAGCTCCCAAAGTTGTGCACATTGATTCCAAGTCGCAGTCATTCAAGAAGACAGCCATGGCAACCGAGGTTGGCGTGCGGACTGTTAGAGTTGTCGATAGAGATGTTTGTCCCACGTTGTCGACTAATGCTCGGCGAATTCTGGACGACCTCTGTGGACACAATTGCCAAAACTGCACCGTCTGCAGTCGCATCACGTCTCACTCTGGCGTCATCTCCTCTGCCGATCTGGCTGCGGGTAAGAAGCGTGTGTCGATCCCGCGGCCCGTTCCCGTCAGCGAGCGCGGGGTGTCTGGCGGCGACCATACAGTTCGACCAGCTCACTCCCCTGGCTATGCCTTGGCTCTTGTAATCAAGGGCTTGGAAGATGAGTCTCAGCATCTTCAGCTGGAACTGACGCGCCTTCAAGCCCGATACAATAGAAGCGACAAGTCCATGGGCCGTCAGGACAGACAGGATCTGGCCGAAGCGATTCGCGTGCTTTTGAAGCGTGTCGAGTCGAAGAGCGACCAGATTTACAGCCTGTACGATGTGCTCGAGGGGCAGAAGGCTGTCGGCCAGGAGATGACGGAAGAAGAAGTGGAGATGACAGTCTTGAACATTACGGGCATGACCGTACGAGACGCCACAAATTTGAGTGATCAAATGACATGGGAGGGCATGGTAGAGGCCTAAAGGAAGACCCATAGTTGAAGGATGTTTTTATTTTCTTCTTGCTGTTTTACTATCATTACAATTTCACAAAGATCAAAAGAGCTTTGTGTGGTATCTTATGGATGAGCTCTAGCCGCTAAAAAAATGCGATGAGAAGAGCCGGGTATTGGGACTAGGATATTGGGGCGTTTTTATAAGCTGAATGATGGCTTCAACTTGATTTGCTAGGGCTAAAAGGAATGTCCTTTACTTTCTGCTGGCTGGCCTTTTTTTTTCATGTTATTTTCTTGATTGCATCTTTTCAAGAAGGGGTTGGGATATGGCGCATAAAGATACCTGCGCATTTCGCTTTGTGTAATAGGCTTGTACTACCTAGGTTGGTGTCTTTTTGTTAGCGACTATGAAAACCTGACTGACTTTGATCATTGGCTAAATGAAATCGTACGAATTTGCAAATGTGAAGACTGTGATGTGATGTGAAATGGAGCTTGCGAATCGTATATATCAATGTGACTAGAAATCAAATCTTTTTAAACTGGAACCAAACTCCCTAATATTATCTGACATCCATCAGGTTATATACAAAGATCTATCTACTCGTCATCTTCTTCCTCATCGTCATCCTCTCCCCCAAGCTCCTCGTCCATATCTACGTCCTCATCGCTATTCTCTTCCTCATCACCTGGTGCTTCACCCTTTTCATCCTCTTTCCTCTTTCGCTCCTCCTCCTGTCTCGCCTCTGCTAGGACCTTTGCGCGCTCAGCTCTAGCAGCAGCCTGGCCAACGACGTATGCGCCCAGAGGCGTCTTGGCCGCATCAAAGTCCTTGAGGAAGGCGTCGACCTGGCTGCGGTGCTTGGGCGCAAAGTCGACCTTGGCGCGCTTCTCCTCGATGAACTTGGCGTTGGCCTCGAGCTTCTGCACCAGCACGGAGAACTGTGAGACGAGCTTGGAGTTCTTGTTGCCGCTGGATTTGGCGCTGACTTGCTTGAGCCATCGCTTGAGCTGGATAATGACGGGGAGGGCGAGTTCGGGGAAGGAGATGGAGGTTGACCAAGTGTACATGAAGCTGCTCATGAGTTCGCCGACTTCCTCTCCAATGCCGTCCTGGAAGACTCGTGTGCGGAGATATGACTTGGGGGCTCTGTAGGCGACGGCAAAGTCCATCGGCTTGAGTGTTGATGCCTTGGGAGCCTTCTTCATCTCGGCAGAGTTGAGTACTTCTAGTAGAGGCGAGGCAAGCGGGATGTAGACGTCGGCCGCACGCGACAGGACGAGCAGTGAGCGGATGAGGTGGAATCGAAGAGGGTAGTATAGGGATGTGGGGAGAAGACGCATGGCGCCGAGGGTCACCTGGACGAGGGGGTAGATGAGTGGCCTCAGGGGGCTCTCCTTGCCGGCCTCGGCCTCCTTCAAAGGCGTGCAGTGCTCGGCAAGAACGCGGGCCCAGAAGTCGAGCGAGTGGGTAAACTGCCAGTTGTAGACCATGCGGAAAGAATCGTTCTTGTTGTTGACGATGCTGTTGCGGAGGTGGATGGCGAGTTGGCGGATAAAAGTGAAGGCTGTGGTGTAGCCGACAGCAGGATCGATGCCCCAGAGTCCGGCGGCCGAAAACTTCATCATGTCGATTCCAGCAAGGGTGTTGTGGTTGGTGACTCGGCAGCCCTGGACGAGGCCCTGGTAGACGGCCTTGAGGACGGTTTCGCGGATACCCTTGTCTCCGATGATGACGAGCCGTCTAATAACACGGAAAGCGGTGACTCGCGATGAGTGAGAGCCAGCGGCTTGTGCCCAGAGGTTGACCATGGACTTGGCCAGAGCCTTGATGAGCTTCTTAAAGGAAAGCAGGTATGGGAGAATCTCCACAATCGCCAAGAGGGTGACGGTGATTGTGCCGTCGTCTGACAGCGAGTTGAGGAGGTGCATGATGGAGGCAATGTAGGACTTCAAGAGCAGAGATAATGTCTTGAACTTCTTGCCCTCTGTCTGAACGTAGACCTTGCCTGCCGCTGACTCCTTGATGGGGAGATGGTGGTTCAGAATGAGAGGCACTTCCTTCAAAGCAAGAAGCAGAATATCATTAAAGACCTCTGGGCTGTTGATGGACCATCGCATATCAGCCTGGCCCTCCTCATCGGCTTCGTCAAGGTGAGCAGCGCATCGGAATGCGAGAACGACTTGTCTGGTCGCTCGCAGAGACTTGGTCTCCTCCATTGCTTTCCTCCAGCCTGCAACAGTGCTGCGAGTCAGCTCGTTGTTCTGTGTTGCCTCTTCCTCCGCCTTGCCGCCCTTCTTTCTCTTCTTCTTTGGCAGCTCCTCGTCTTCTTCGCCGGCGCTCAGTTCGTCGACCTCGGCCAAGTCTGCATTCTCATCAAAATCCAACGCTTCGGGGTCGTTTTCTTTCAGAAACTTGAAAAACTCGGGATCCTTGTCCGCAAGGCCCTTCATGGCCTCTGCGCTCATGCCAAGTCCAGCACCCTCATCGTCGTCGTCTTCGCTGCCATCTTCGCTGTCGCTCGCAACGGGCTGGACACCGATTGACACGTCAGAGTCGCTCTCTTCAGCTTCTTCCTCCTTGGCTTCGCTTCGCTTCCGCTTGCCGAGTTTGCCAGCCTTGTCGTTTTTGTCGATGATGTCCTCGAAGCCGCCGGAGAAGAAATCGTCGACGCTCATCTCGGTAACCTTCTTCGCTTTGCCCCCGGCAGGTTTCTTGGCAGAGGCATCGGCCTCGCCTTCCTTTGAGCCCTTGATATATTCGGCATCTGAAGCTCGTTTCTCTTTTTGCTTGTTCTTGATCTGCAGCTTCTGCTTCAGCTTTGCGCCAGCCTTTCTCTTATCCAGAACTTCCTTGAGATGCGATTTTTCGAATTTTTTTGTCGCCTTCAGATTTTTCTTGGAGGAACCCATGTTGGGCAATCTTTTGCAGCTACTGTGGGAGCTGCAAATTGAGGATTCAAAAGCAGAAAGATAAAAAAAAAGAAGAATGATGCCGCTTAGAAAGGCGAAAATCGTCGCGCTGCTAACGTGCCAATTGCACTTTCCAAAAATTTTCGACAGCGATCATTATCGATAAAGCCGCTCCACTACAATAATTTGGGCGGTCAATAATTCTGCCAGCCGTGGGAGCCTCTAGTGCAGCTTATAGTGGGCTAAGCGCTAGGCGCCGCCTCAACTACAGTAGCTCAGTGAGTGCCGTCACCACCATCTTTGTATGAGACTCAAGCATCGTCACAGCTTCGCGGCTCCTCGATGCCTCGCCTCAGTCCACCATCATGAACACGCGTCAGAGCTACGCGCCCACTCCCCATAGCTACGTTCCCAACACGAGTCTGTCTGCCACCATCAACCTCGATGAAGTGAGTAGATGATACCTACACAGAACCCCCTCCCCCGCTCTCTCAACGTGATATGTGCGTAACATAACATGGCTAATCAAATCTCAACCACGCAAGGAGGTGAAACTCACCGACACCCGCGCTGAGCGCGATCTCCAGGACTCTCTCGGTGAACTGTTCAGCATCATCGTCACGCTCGACGAGCTGGAGAAGGCGTTTCTGAAGGATGCCATCCCGGAGGCTGAATACACAGACATCTGTGAGCGCTCACTGAGGCAGTACAAGGCGCTTCTGGCGGATGAGACAATTGCAAACGAATTCAAGGACCTCGAAGAATTCAAAGCAAAATGGGATGTAGGTTACATCATACTAATGAACCCAACCATGAAGCTCCCTTAACTAACCTCGATATCCGCGCAAACACAAAAAGCTCGACGTCCCCCGCGCAACTGAACGCCTCCGAGTCGGCATGCCATCCACCACCATCACCGCATCCTCCGCCGCTCCCGCTGCAGCTCCCGCCGCCGCCGCCGCAAACAACCCCAGCGGCGTGCTCATCCTGGAAGCCACGCAGGAGTTCATCACCTTCCTCGACGCCGTCAAGCTCGGCCTGCTGTCCAAGGACCAGCTGCACCCTCTGCTCTCGGACGTGATCCAGTCGGTGAACCGCGTGACGGACAAGGACTTTGATAACCGGGGCAAGATTGTGCAGTGGCTCATCACGCTCAACCAGATGAAGGCGTCGGATGAGCTGAGCGAGCAGCAGGCGAGGGAGCTGGACTTGGATATGCAGCAGGCGTATCAGGGCTTTAGACGTACATTGACATGATACCATTTTCTAATATCTTGAATTTAAATCTTTGTAGTTGGAATATGTTTTCCTTTTTCCTCGTCTATATGTATAAAAAAAGAAACAAAATCCATTGATGGCCATGACGATGATAATGCAAACCCCCTAAACTCACACCAAAAATGTCCAGAAACTCGGATACACAAACTCCTCCTCGAATATCCTCCTCACCTGCTCCAGCACAAATCTCTCCACCTTTCCCACATTCTTCAAGCTCTGCCTCCCGCTCTCCCGCTCGCCAATCTCGCTCTCCACCTTGATCTCCTGCAGCAGTCCCCCGAACCTCCCTCCAGTCTGCTGCTGCTGTCCTTGTCCTTGCTGTTGCTGCTTCTTCCCCTTTTCTCCTTCATCATTGCCATTGCCATCTCCCGTTACAGATTCCTCTCCTTTCCCCCCCTCCGGTCCCACCGCGGTCAACGCATCATCCGGATTCAAAAAGCAGAAATGCACCCTCTTGCGAATATGCGCCAGCACGCCCACCCCATCAAACGTCAGCCCCGTGATATTCAACTTGAGCGGAATACCCACAAAGCTCGGCATCGGATAGTCTAGCAATATCTCCGCCGTCAGGTTCAGCCTCACGTCGCCCGCGTACCGGATCCGAAACACCGCCTGCACGTCCTCCACCTTGGCCTCCCTCTTGCCGCCCCTTTCTGCTTCCTCATCGTCGTCGTCGTCGTCGTCAACAATCGCAGAGTCCTGCCCATGGCTCGTCGACGGCCTCGACGGCTGTCCCAGCGTGCTCGACACATCCGACTTTGCGCCCAAGTTCAGCGCCCCCATCCCCGGGTCCAGCAAGTTGTCAATCGAGCTCAGCGACGCCTCCCTGCTATGATACGGCGTCTGCGCCTCCGACCCGGCCGCCGAGCCCATCCAGCTCGTGCCGCCCAGATGCGCGCCCGCGACGGCAGCCAGCGGCGTGTGCGTCCCCGTCGCCAGATGCGCCTGGAAGTAGTTCCTCCCCGGCCCACCCAGGATCCCCGGCGTCGACGTGCCCAGAAACGCCCTCCCCAGATCGTGGCTGCTGCTGCTCACGTCGCTCTTCAGCGCCTCCCGCAGGCCGTTCTCGCGCTTGCGGGCCTCCATCATCGCCGCCGCCGCCGCCAGCCGCTCCCGCTCGGCGATGCTCTCCTCGTCCTCGTCGCTGTCCTGGCTGTCGTCCTCATCGTCGTCCAGCTCCTGCTCGTAAAAGTCCGGCAGCGGGTCGGTGATGTCCTTGAGCTCCAGCTCTGGCGGGATCGTGCCAAAGTCGAAGCCGTGGACGTTGACGGATCTGATGAACCGCGGCAGCGGCACCGTCTGGAATTTGGCGTGGATAAAGGTCCTGATGCTCTCGGCCAGCGCATCGCCGTCTGGGCCGCTTGTGAGCGTCTCCCAGTTGAGATCAATCGACATTTGGGGTGAGTGAAGAGAAAGGGAGAAGAAAGTTAACGAGACATTAAAATTGATTACAGCAAGTCAAAGGCTGCTCAGCAGCACTAGCAGCAGATAGTAGACGTAGAATAGTTGACAGAGAGAAGTTGGCCACTTAGAAGGTGTAATGTGAACATCACCTTATTAGCGGGGCCATAGCTTGAGTTTTTCAAAGACTTATGGTTTCAAGAACACACGGAATACAAGCGTTATAAGGGACGCTCTCGCTTCATTAGCGTCTCACAGAAAAAAAGAATTGTGGCTATCAAAGGAAAGAAGCCGTTCCTAAAATACTGTTTCTTTTTCTGTCGCTTAATATTACACAATTTGCACTGATCAATTCGCAGTTCCATCTTTGCACTCCAGCTTTAAACTCTGTGATAATCATTTAGGGTATCTCGCTGCCTGCTCCTTCATTCATCTCATCCCTCCATCCCAAAACACACACACACATAAACGCTGAAACTAACTTCATAAAAGAGAATAAAAAGGTAATCAGCGCACATGAGTATCAACTCGCCAACGCCATGATGTGACAAAAATAAAAATAAAAAGGAAAAAAAAATATATATAGAGCCAACGTGCTGTAAATGCTTCTCCGCACACCGCCCGAGTTCTACTCGCTTCATCTCAAGTCAACTCATATTCTCAAGCCTCTGCGTCCTCAAATCGGGCCTGGTTGTAATACATGTTATGCTGAGGCTGTTTGAAAAGGTGCCAGCAGTTAGGAGCTTGCAAGATGTACCTACGAGTCCGAGTGTCAGTATCCGCTATCAAAGTGCCGCAGCGTATGAAGTAGAAGCCACAAAAACTCACCTTGCCATGGCCTCTCTAAATCGAGACTTGTACTCCTTAGGACTCGTCACAGTCGGCCTGTTCCGACCGCCACCCGCGAAGCCGCGATCTTTGATCCAGCTTTCAAGCTTCTTGTCCCACGTATACGTTCTGATGCAATCAATGATGCCCACGACCAGTTCCTTTCTCCTCTCATCAACCGCAATCATCAGAGAATAGTCCATTACGTTCTGTCGCGCCAAAAACAGCGTATCGTTCCAAACTGACGCCCTAAGAAGCTTCTTGGAGTGTTCGCGCGCAAATAGAGGAGATTCGTAGATGTACTCTACCATGTTTTCGTCTAGTAAAACCTCATTTTGCTCGCCTGTTGACTGGATTTTGCGGTTGCGCATGGATCCCTTCAAATCAAAGATTCTCGTCGGAGATCTGTCGTAAAAGAGATTCTCCGTCACCAGCAAGTCCAGCTTAATATCTGTCCCCGTCACTGGATTCTTGATGAGAATTTGGAAGAAGCCCATCATCTTGGCGATTACAGATGGCAAATCATGGAACAGCGCCTCAGCCATTATACTGAAATATCCTGGAGCAAATCGTAAGAACGCAGATGTCTCGATAGTCGAGAGAGACTATGAGAGATAACGGGTTAGTTAAGAACTGATACACTTAGCACTCTCAAAGCCCCTCTTTTTACTTACCTTCAAAACTAGTCGATCATCAAGCGTCTTTAAGAAGACAGACTTCGTTTTACCACCCTTTGAATCCCATTGAAGACATCGCGACAACGATTCCACTATGCGCTCGGCAACGCCACACTTCCGCCTCAGAGCATCAAACTGCTCGGCGTAAAAGATCTTACAAGTCATGACCGCCGCGCCCTCCTTGAACTGGTACTTGAGATGCGTGCCGGTGGCGCGAAGCAGACTCTTCTCAAGCTCTGATTCGTCAGCAGCCCAATCTGGGTTGTCTGATACTGGCATTGATTTGGGGTCACCATCGATATTGCCATCCATGTTCTCGTCTATGATACTGTCCGCCTCCCGCATCATAGTCTGGTGCGCATCTCGCCGGATGTTGGCAAGCTTTTCCTTGTAATCATCGCTGTTTAGGGCCAACGCGATGACCGAGCTAGGCTCATCTTCTCGAACAATAATGTCCGAGTCAACAAAGATGTGATCTGTGGCATTGACGGGATACTCCAGCGCAGGCCACCCACTGGCTGATCGTTCAGCCCAAAAGTTGGTAAGATATTTCATTAGGCTTGTTTTTTGATGCTTTGGAAGCTCAAGTGGAATCTCGGCGCTAGAATCAGCAATCTCTTTAATGTCGGGCATAAACTCATCAGATACCGAAGGCTCAGCGTCACTAGTACCTCCCTCATCATCCGACATGCCTTGGCTCGTGTTCGGATTAGTGGTTTCATCGTCCCATCGAGGCTGGCTATCAGAATGCAGAGGAGGTTCGCTGGGAGTTGGTGGCTCCGTTTGGGACTCTAGCCTAGATGATCCTTCTCCTTTTCCTCCCAAGGAAGTGGAAGACGCTTCTTGTAATCGTGTCTCTACATCATGCTCCGTGTTTGGTTCGCTTGTCACAGCTGGTTCGTCAAACGCTTCATTTACGTTGTCGTACACTTGCACAATCGCCTGCGTCGATGTCTTGGGCAGCATAGGACGAGGATTCCGCATGCTAGCAGCACGCTTCTTACGGTCTCGAATGCGCTCCTTCTCGAATTCTCTGCTAAACTCTCTGCTGAGCTGCTCAAAGTGCTTTGCTAGAGTGGTGACTTTGGATTCCTTCTTCTTGCTCTGCACCATGCGAGGAATACTTGAGCCAGCCATCTTCCCCCGGTTCTTTAATACAGTCAAGCCGAGTCGATCAGATAGTTTTTTATCCGATTTGATAGACCCTTCTGACTGTTGATCTGAGTTGGCAGGTTCCGAGGACTTCGAGATAGAATCGGAAGAGCCAATTGACTTGCCAAGCGACTGTAACCTAGACAGTGTCCGCGAGGGTTGTGATGTGGCTCTTGTTATCGGTGGTGAAGTGCTAGTAGCCGACTTTCGTCGAACACCTTGTTCTGAGACCTGCCTGGATGTTGTTTCCATATCAGTAGGTCTTTCGCTGGAGTCCTCTGATTGTCTTGGTTGTAAAGTTTTCTCGCGGCGGCTGGCCTCAATCTTCTCAGCAAGAGACTGTCCAGACGCAGATGAATTTGTGGGACTGCGAGCCATTCTGACGGGCGATGTAGATGATCGCGTTGCTGATGCTCCGTCTGGCGGAGTAGTTGCCGCCACTGTCGCCTTTGTATCTTCGCTGTTGGCAGCCGCTTGAGAGTCATTTATAACAACAGGCGCTGAGCTTGCTAGATCTAGCGGCTGAGCATGCTCAAGAGTATCCTCCGACACAGGTGGAACTTGCACACCTTCGGCATCAAGCTTCTCTGAGCCCAGTTTTGCGGAAGTGGTGCTGGCTTCCATACTGTTGTTATCAGTAAAGTCCGCCGTTTGCAAAGTTTTCTCCTCAGGCTCAGAAAAGGTCTGCGATGGACGCTCCTCGCTGTCCGCAGCTGATTCCGTTCCTTCGTTGGACGCAAGTGATTCCTTGGATTCGTTGTCGGTGAAAATCTTCTTTAGCTGCAGCATTGTAAGCTGTCGCATATCTTTATCTCCCAAGAAGTCGGCCTCAAACGTAGCAAATATTTGATCCCATTCGGTGATTGTTTCCAGCATTTCTCGAACGAGAATGTTGAACGGAACAACTTCGTAGTACTTGGAATTGACGTAGATCTCTTGCAGCCGATGGACCGTAAGGGCTTGTTCTTCCTGAGCCTTTTGCGACAGCCTTTCGAGCTCTGCCTTGCAAGATTCAGCCTTTTCAGGAAGAACGCTGTCGATCCTAATGCTCTTAAGCCGGGCATTTACAGATGCCATGAATTTTGCCCAGCGCTCATCCATCTTTGTATAGATTTCGTTCTTGAGTTTCAGATCGTTGCTCACTTTCCAGGTGAGTCGCGCTCGCGGTACGACAATTTCGAGAAGGTCAATTGGATCCCAGTGAATTCGGACACGGGAGTCATGCAAGCTAAAGTATCGAACGTGATCTTTTTGATGATCGTGAGGGCATTCCACAGCATCCTTCATTCGCAAGCCACGGCCCCAGTAAAGGAGCTCCAGGTACTTTCCAAAAGAGTATTTGTATGTAGTCTCCGACATTGCCGTCTCTTCTGAGTCTTTCTGGCAGATCTTGCAGTAAGTCCACATGGAAATTCCATCTCCCAGTTCAGGTGACCTAGGAGAGGCATTCGGAAGATGCTCCACAAACACAGTGACTCGGAATTGGTCATGGACAAAAGTACGATGATGCTGGGCCATCTTGCGATCGCATCCGTTGGAGTCGCAGATTTCGTCTTTACTGTTGACCAGGTGTTCGATGTACTGGCCGAGAGTGCAGTCCGGGTCCATGTCGGTATCCTCACGCTGCTCATCGTAGAAGTTGATGCCAACCAAAACGGGCTCTGTGCAGGGAATCTTTGTTTCGGTGCAAATGACGGAATACAGAATAATGATATTTTGGTGTGAGTAAGGGTCGAATAGATCTAGGTTGCCTTGGATATACGTCTCCCATTGGCGAGTCTGTGTCTGGTAAGTATAAAGAGCCTTGTCGTACTCGGCGTCGTGTACCGCATGAAGAATCTCCATTATCTGGCGAGGCGCTTTCTGGCCAAGCTCTTCGACCATTTCCGGCTTAATAAGTTGAAAGTTTGGAGGCTCAGCCTTTTCTTCGAAATCTTCTTCAATCATGTCCTGATCCCTTAGACGTTTGAGATACAAAAGGCGCCTTTCTTGCTCACGAGCTTTCATAAGAAGATACGGCTGGGTGAACCGCACATATGGCGAAGCTGAAAGAATCTTGGTCTCATACTTGGACACCATGTCGCTATAGAAAGTTGGCATGGGCACATCATCTGGCACCTGGCTATATGCCGAGTCGTGAATATGAGACTCATGCAGCGACAGCAGCTTGGGTGGCTCAGAGCTGGCCTGATCTAACGAAAGCTGCGAAGTAGGTGCCTCATCAGTGTCTCCGACACAGGAGCTCTCGATAGTGGCCTGTGACGGCGGGTCACCTTCACTAGACGGTTGGTTGATCACTACAATTGGGCCATTTCTGCCGCCGTTGGTCGAATACTGTACCGAGTTCAGTGAACGAATGCTATCGTTCAAGGCTGGGAAAGAATTAGACAAGGAGGCAGATTCGTGGGCCTCAGGTGGCTCAACAGACTCATCCCGCAAAAGACTCGACTCGAGTTTGAGATTGTATACAACGTAGACCATGAAGTCGGTGATGTATTTCATCTTGGCGAGAAGGTCATTGCTGGCCCCTCGAAGAGTAATGGTGCACCCGAGCTCACGCCTACATCCCGAAAGGAAAATGTAGGACTTCTTCCGGCCGGGATAATCATTGTTCACAAATGTCCTGACCTCAAAGGCGCTACATCTCCCAACTTGAGCCTCTAGCATGTCAAAGGACTCGATAATCTTTGTCTCGGTACAGCGGGCAACAGCTGCTATGACTGATCGCTTGACATTAAACGCCACTGCAATATTGGCGTCTGAGAGATACTGCAGAGCCAAGCCAGAAATGGTCTTTTCCGCAAGCACAACGTGAGGTTTGAGTTGAACGATTCTCTGGACCACGATTCTGAGAAATTCCTTCTCCTGCGCAATGACCGGCTCCAAGCTCATAAATTGCTGCTGGTGTCTCTGGTATTCAATTGGAAACCCAACAAGTAGGATCCTGGGATTTGTAATCTTGCGTGGCATACTCTTCAAGGCAAGATTTTTGGTGAAGACGATTCCAGAGATGTAGGATGTATCACCAGGTTTACCTCCTGGGATTCTCTTGAGCTTCACGTAGGTTCGAATATCCATGGATTCGCCATTCGCCACGTCCGGGGACACATCATCTGTCGCCTTCAAGAGAATAGGAACAAGCGCCTTTTGCCAGGCCTCAGGGTTGGGTATATCCCCGTCGACTAAGAGCTGATAGAGGAGCCTGTCGACGTGCCTCAAACTAGACTCGTTGAGCTTTGTTTTGGCCTCCTTGCGCTTTTGGAGCGAGTTACTTCTAGTCAACTGGGTCCCGCTGTGATTTGGAGCATCCACAGGAAACAGCATCTCCGACGATGTTGACGGGCCCTTGAAAACGATGGACTTGGGCCGAGGAGAGCCAAAATGGTGAACGCTGCCGCTAACATTACTGTGATTGCGTCGCCGAGTTGACCTGCGGTGGCTAGCAAAGCCGGGCGTCAATTCATCAAGCCCAAATCCACTTCGGCTGAAGTGGCTCATTCCGCTGATGCTTTTTTCGCCCCCTTTATGGCGATGATGCTTCTTTGTAGAGTTCATGAGCGATGAAAGGTTTGATTTGTCAGGGTCAAAGCCTGTAGGGGGGATATCGGCTGATGCGAGAGTCGCAAAAATACTGCCGACTTGCTGCTCATCTCCGCTCGAGTCATCCGACATGAAGTCGGCCAATTCTGGGTCGATGATGTTGTCATCATGGAAAGCTGGGAATTTGGTTCGATTGGAGTTTTCTTCTTGAATGCCTCTCCGAAAAGGAGCTTGATCCGGCTTGATCCTTCCCAGCAATCCATGCTTTGAATGGTGTCTTTTGTGACCAGCAGACGAATGGGGTCTACCGGAAGAAAGAGACTTGAGCGAGCGTGATGAGCTCGGCCGACTGAGCTGTGGAGCGCCAATTTCCAGAACAGAAGAGGTGTTGTTAGATTCATTGACTCTCCGGGTTGCTGGTATTGTCATCATGGGTGTCGTTACCGGTCTCGAAGTCTCTGGGCTCTGCAATGTCTCTGGTTCTCTGAGAGGCTGCGCAAAAGAAACTGTTGATTTTCTGGGATCTTCAGAGCCAAATATTCTTGGCAGATACGACTGCTCATCGCCAGAGTCCTCCGAGCCGCTGGCGTCAAAGCGCCGAGTGATGACATCGAGGCAGCGCTTACAAACCCGGAGAGAGCCGGGAAGACCAAATCTTTCACCTGAAATGACAACTGTACACTTGGAATCAAAGATGAAGCCGCAGGTTCGGCAGTGGTGCTTTCTTCGAAATGCTGTAAATGGCCCCTGGCAGAGAAAACACTCCTTTACGGTCTCGTCCTTCATCCAAAATTCTTTACTTAGTATTTGTCTGCGCATTCTGTCTAGCTGGGCGTTCATCTGGTCCGACGCTCCATGATGGCCGGCTGTGGTACCTGGGATGCGGATATCGCCAGACTGCGAGCGTTGAGGATTAGAGTCTTGAGTGAAGGAGCTATGATGAATCGAATTATGGGCAGACGTGATAATATGACTTGCTTCTGCTGTTCCTCGGTCGGCAGACGAGTCCCTTGAAGCTGAGTATCTCAAATGGTTTGGGTGGCTAATACGATCAATAACAGCAGGCTTTCTCCGGGCATCATCGGGAGATAGCAGAGACGATGCTGCAGAAGGACTTCGTGAATGAAAGGTCGTCTGCAATGGCGATAGGGGGCCTTTCCCCTTGACTGGGCTCAGCGGAGCTTCAGCGCTTCCACTCTCAGCACTAGAAATGCTGTTGTCCCTCCGCACCCTTGCAGGAATGCTGCCACCTTTGGAATCGTACAGGGTTGGTGAGTCGACAGATGAGAGGCGCGTCTGCAAGTCACTCTGGGGTTTGCCATCATCAGTCTGGATAGAGCTACGGCTGGCATCTCGTATCCTTGTAGAGGGGCCGGCGATGGTATGAACGGCAGTCACAGGGCTTGTGGCGTTTGTCGGTAGACTCTGCCGACTAGAGGGATGAGACTTGGAGCCGCTAATCAGGCTGATGCTTCCAGATTTGGATGCGGCAGGCCGGCCATCGACAGGGTTGGTGGATGTTGTGGGAGAGGAAACATCGCTTGGCGCAAGCTGAGAGGTTGCGGTAGAGACGGTGGTTGCAGTCTCGGCGCGGCTCAGAGACGATATCGACGGCTTCGAGGCATGTCCTTCGCCGGCAGCCGACGATGCCTTTCTGCCCGACTTTTCCACCCTCTCGGCATCGTCGTCCCGCTGCGCAGCCTTGGACGAGCTGCTCCCACCAACCGCCTCTCGAAACCGGCTGTAGAGCCCGCTCAGGCCCTGCTGCACCGTCCCCCGGCTCTCGGTATCTGCAACGACGACGGGAGGAGGGGCGAAGTCGTTGAACGTGGTCAGCGAGTCGGTGCGGCTGGCCGTGGTGTGTATCTGGTCGAGGGCGTGCGCCAGCTGTTCCTTTTCCAAGGTGGAGCTCACCGAGACGGAGTGGACGGAGTCGCGGCGGTGCTGCGAGTGTGTGGGAGAGATGAGCGAGCCGGAGAAGGAGGAGCCGTCGACGGGTTTCGAGGCGGATGTATGGCTGGCCATGGTGTTGTGATCGGGGTCTATGGGAAGCTCTATCTGGAAGCTCTATCTGGAAGCTCTCCAGCTCGCTGTGGCGCTATACACGCAGGAGTAGTAGCGCTGCCTCAGTGACGCTGCTTCAGCACCCGCCCGCCGCTTAGACGTCGATTTCCAAGCAGAGGCGCATGCGCAGTGTCGCCAGCATGGTGGTGTAGGAGAGATGGCGAGAGGCAGTCGGGAGCGTGGAGTTGCGGCTACGTCAGGTATGCGGTGCCGCATGTACGCATATGTAAGGGCTCTGTAGGCTGCAGGCGGGATATGCGAGCAGAGAGGCGGAATGCAGGCCGTTGGCGAGGGGTCAGTCAGCCGCGGGAGGCAACAAGAGCGCAAAGCTTGATTTGCCGGCAGGATGTGACAGCTTATCAATGTCGACTTGACTCGGCACAGGCTAGTCTACGCAATGCCTGGTACTTATAGCTCCATCTAGATATACAGATACCTGCTGTAGATGTCACGGTGCATCGCAGGCAATAGTATGTGTCACTCTACATCTTCTCATTTCGTAAAATGTCACTGCTAAGCGCCTCTGGAGCTGTCTATCAAGCACAGCGTCGAGCTTCTCTCGAGGCGCTCGGCTACGTACCCAGGCACCCAGGCCTAGAGAAGCACCTGATGCTACCTGACAGCTAGCGCCTGTCCAAGCTCCCTGTCAACCCGCGGAAACCCCACCACGCCCGGCGCCTGGTTGACGACGCGATCATCTCCAACTCCAGCAAAATTCCTGGACCGCGTTTTGCGACGTCCCGCTCGCCTGCATGGTGTTTACGATCTGAGTCATGGGATGCGAAGCCCTGCCAGCGGCGCCCGGCGACTCTCTCTGATTGCCTGATCAACGGACCTCGCACACTGTCGATTGTGTCGATTGCACCTCGAGTGGCTGCCAGCGCTTGCTTTCTTGACATTGACAACGCCTAGGGCGTTTCCCACAGATGCGCTGAGCTGACCAGCCCGCCGCGTCGCATCATTGCCGACTTGCTAAAATGCCTCCCAAAACATCACCAACGCACGATGTCACCGAGCTGCTGGGCCGCCGGAGTCTCGCCACCATTCCCAAAGACCAGAAGTCGCTGCTCGAGGCGGAGGGCTCGTGGGCGGTGGACATGAAAGATGGGCCGCACGGTCTGTCTACTGTCCCGAGCCATGTCCTGCAGACCCTGAAGGAAGCATTTGTTCGTCTCAAGGACAAAAACGACCAAGATGTGCAAGAAGGCCAGGGAAATCAAGAGGGCGAAGAGGATCAAGAGGATCAAGAGAACCAAAAGGACCAAGAGGACAAAGAAGACCAAGGAGATGAAGAGGGTCAAAAAGATGACGAGGATTTAGAGGGCAGAGAAGACCCCAAACACACGGAAGATGCTAAACGCTCTCTTACCGTCAATAACGGTGACAAACAGATTGGATCCTCCCCTGGCTCGATCGCTGCAAGGTCAAGTAAAGTACCCGCATCTTCTTCAGAGAGACCTACAGCTTCGTCACCAGAGAGGCCTGTAGCCTCGTCACCAGAGAGGGATATATCATGGCCGGCCTCACCATCCAGATCGGGGAACCAATCAGACGCATCTGATCCCGGCTCACCCATTGAAGAGGAATACAAGTCGCCATTGCTCGAACCGCTCACTCAACCGCCAGCGCCCAAAGCAGATGACGCTGCAGACCCCGGCCCCTCTTCGGGCATCAGCGAGCCCGATGATCTTGAGATGGAGGTCCCCCAAGCCCAAACAAACCACCATGAGGCACCAATCAACCGTGTAGCTACGCTGATCCATACAGCAACGCCTCAAGAGGCCACGAGCAACTTGACAAACACGGCGTCTACTACAGATACGCCTCCATGTGCGCAGCCTCGTGTTTCGTCCGGCCCTCATATTCCCATACCAACACCTCAGTTGTCTATGCTCTCAACTGACCCAGTCCATCATCGGACACGAAGAATGAAGCCGATTCTGTTTGATGAAGACGGCCCCACTGCCTCTGGAACTCCCCCAATACGTTTGGTTCCTTCCACGCGCATGCCTTTCGCGCGGGCACATGCTGAGCCGAGCCTCCAGAGCTCAGCTGCCTCAACCCCATTTGATGATGATATGATGGAGAGCTCGCCACCCATACCCCCACCACACAGATTTATCCAGGATGCCGCCCCCCAGAACAGAGCTCCGGGGCGCCAAGACCAGATCAATCGGCTACCCCACAGTGATCCAGAAGCATCTCATTCTCGCCAAACGCCAATAGGCCATTTATACAAGATACAAGCCGCCATCGACGTGCTGATAAGCAAAAGCGGAGATCCCTATAGTGCCTTCACTGCTACATATCCCGACTATGCGACGGTTCATTCAGGCAACCTCTTGAGCTTTGTTGAGGCGTGCTGCCACCTCTATGAGCTCCAGGAAAAGAGACTGATACGAGAGTATCTATGCGATGACTTCATCCGAGCATGGTCCGGATATTTGAAGTACGCTCTCAGCGGGGGCCCTAGCCATCTTCCTGCCATCGAATGGTTCAATGATCTTCGAGGCCCCATCCTCTTCAACCGCATGTGTGTAAACAAAGACAACCTAGACACAGTTTTGGGTGCATACCCCGAGGAAGTCGCAAGGATCAAGGCCGCAATGAACCAGAGCAGGCAAAGGGGGCCGGCTCCCGAGCTAGAAATGGAGATGGAGCAAGACGTGGAAATTGTGGACTTGCTGGACGATGACAGTATCATGGACGACAGCGCCGTGGAAGTGAGACGAGGTGGACGGAGTAGTGTGTCGCGGGCGCAGAAACGACCAAGAGCAGCATCCGCTGGGGACATGCCTCCTCCGACAAGACAGCCGCCAACTGTACCTGCACCATCACGGACAGCACCGGCACCACCACCTCCTCGACCTCCTATTCCACGAGCTGCGTCCCCGGATCTAGGGAGCGACGACTTTGATTACCTCCCCTATCCCGCCAAAGCACCATCGCGACCAAAGCCACAACCACAGCCGCAAGCAGAGGCGCATTCAAGATCACGATCACGATCAAAAACACAAGCTGCTCAACCACAGCCTCAGCCTCAACCTCAACCTCGCCCTCAGCCCGAATCTACCCCACAGCTACAACCGCAGCCACAAACCCAACCTCAGCTCCAACCAAAGACGCACAGAAGCCTCCCTCAGCGCTCATCACCCCGACGCCACCCCACAACCTCCGCAGTAATCTCCTCTCCCGTATCAACAACCCGGCGACAACCTCTTCAATCCTCCAACCCCAGGTCCTCCCCGCGCCCAGCGGCCGATTACCTCGGGAGCCTCGTCTCAAAGGGCCGCACCACCCCTAGTTCGAGCGCCAGGTCGGGCTCCTCGAAGCCGCGCAAGAGAACGGCCGAGGAGCGGGCGCGGCTGAGGGAGCATTTCCGGAAGAAGGCATCTACTTCGTCGACGAGTTTTATTGGCAGTGGCATTGACAATTGAGAGGATGAAATAAATGGAAAAGAGAAAGGAATTGGGCTGAGTGAAAATGACGTATTATTATAATGATGTACATGGTTTATTGATACGCGGCGCGATTGTTGTATGAAATGACTGGCAGAAATGAATGGATTATATAGGCGTTTATTGATATGGGATGAATATGGAAGGCATTTTATAGTAACGAAAAATAGACACATCCCTTGAAGCATGTATTGGCAGCAACAAGACGGAACGAGGCACGTGGATAATTGAAGCTTTTAACACAAAGTGTCTTCTCTTGAAGTTTAATGTAAAAAATGCTTGTCTATTTCATACAAATGCACTAATGCATGCATAAAAAAGCGTTCAAAAGCTGAAAAAAGACGCATCCTCCCTCCTCAGTCATATCACATAGTATTTGTTTGAGTTTATCAGAATATGAAGAAATTTTCAGAAAAGCAAACAAAATAAAAACCCATTCTTCACTTTCATCAATCAGAGAAAGCTATACAGAGGAGAAAAAGGGGTTATCAAGTGAGAGAGAAATAAAAAAGAATAAAAAAAGAATACATAAATAACCGACTCCTTGAGGAGTACTCGCAAAACCATCTAATCCGTCTCATTCCAGAATATGAATAAATATTTTCAAAAAAACACAGCGATACTGCAAAACGCCAGTAAGATTTTCTCTTTTCTTTTTTTAAACGAGTTTTTTTTCTCGGGTTTGTTTGTTTGTTTTCTTTCTTGACTCTGCGCGTCGAATGTTGAAGTGTGGAAAGGAAGATCAAATAACACAGCCACCAATGCCCTTGTATAAAGGGAGTTTCGTAAACTTTTCAAGTTGTTTGCTTTTAAAATGACGTTTGGCGTTGAATAGAAAAAAAAAAAAAAAAGTCGAATGGCGGATAAGAGGGAGCGTAAAAGTAAATGGTTAAGAAAAAAAAGTGTTTCATGGTGCGTCGTGCAATTATCATCAAAATCATTGCGTTGAAAAAATGGCGGTGGGTGATGGCCGTGTGTCTGCTTGGAATCATTGCAATATCCAAGCTGCCTGCCATTGGCATGCGAAGAGTTAGTTTTCGCCGAGGGCGAATCAGATAAATCCACTCCACAACTCCTAGCTTGAACCTCTCCCCCCTTTGTCGTTCTTTTTCTTTTCATCTTCTTGTCCAGTTTACGCATCTGCAGGCTCGGCTTTGGACTCGGCCTTTTCTGTAGTAGGGGTGTCCTGCTTCTTGGCGCTCTCCTCCTTGGCCGCTGCTTCGGCTGCCTTTTTCTTCTGCAGGCGCTTCTCTTCCTCAGGGGTCAAAGTCTTGAGCTGAAGAGCGTGGATGCCTCCCTCCAGGGCCATTTCATCTCGCAGCAGGGCGTAGACCATTCGATGGCGTGCAGGCTGCATCTTGGAGGCAAATACATCGGAAATAATGACTAGCCTGGGATGATGTCAGTTGCCGCCGAAGAAATGAGTTGTGATTGGAAATCAGTGTATCAAGTCATACCGGAAGTGCGTCTCCTTGGAGATGTTGCCTGCCATGGCCTTGTGGTGGGCGTGGAGGTGCGAGTCATTGTAGATTTCCAGCGTCAGAGGGCAGAGCGCTGCAGTCAGCTGAGAGGGAAATAAAAGTCAGCGAATTATACAGGCAATTGCGCATAAACATAAGAGTCGTAATAGAAGAATGCGAGACGCAAAAAAGATGGAATAAATCAAGGTAAAATGAAAACCACATACCTTGGCGCGAATGGCATCTTCCAAAGGCGTTGTTGAGCCCATTGTGGAAAACTGGCGGCCGACGTTTGAGAAGCCGAGAGCGTACCGTCGGAACATGGTGACAGGAGAATGGCGCGGTGGGATGATAAAAAATGACGGTCGTTGTTAGTGGAGCTGGCTGAGGCTCTGCTGGCGGTGTCCCTGGTGCGCCAGACGGAAATCACGAGACTTGGTGTGTCGGGCGTTAAAGAGGCGGTCGAGGGCGATGGAGGCGGCAGAATTAGCTGCTGAGATTTTTTGGATGTACGCTCTGTAAGTCGAGAGGCAAAAGCGCACAATGGCGAGGCAGATGGAGAGGCAGAGAGGGTGAGAAGAGGAGAAGAGGGGATGAAGCAGAGAGGGATGCGAGAGGATAAAAAGGTCGTCTCGAGGCCGGCTGGTGGACAGGAACGAGCAGCAGGCCCTGCTAAATAAGAAGTCGTTCTTTGTCGCAAACAACGTGAAATTCGGTGAAGTCGGTGAGAAGTGGTGCGCCATGCATGACTCCTAGAGTGGCGGCGAGCCAATCAGGCGCGGCGACAGGCCCCGGGAACCATGGAGCGGTGACGGCCAAAAGGCGGCGGGCGGTGCCTGGACGCTGGGCGTGCCTGTAGTCACCTGTAGTGGCCTGTGGCTGCTGGTAGCGGTGCGAAAAGGGAGCAAAAGTGGTTGCACCCAGGAAAGGGGCATCGCAGCAGCAGGATTTCCCGCACGCACACCCCCTGGTACCTGGTGGCCACGCCCAAATGGCTGCGTGGGATTTTTTCTGTTTTTCCTCTTGTCGCTTCTTTTTCCGTTTTTCTTTTTTGCCCTCTTAGCATGTACATGTTTGCTAAGGAGCAGGTACTTGATAGCAAACGGACGGACATGCATGCATTGGCGTCCCTGAATACAAAACCAGCTAGCCATGCCGTCCTCGACGTGCGGTGCTTGTTGCAATGCTTCCCATGTTGTACTTGTTTGAATCAAGTGATGGCAACTGTGTACAGCAGCGGCACTGCTATTACTCGCACCATGCTGGGCCGACCTATGGGATGAGAGCCGCTGGAATTCCACCATGGCACGGCTCGAGGCAGGGAGAGCTCAGCCGTCATGTAGCCGCAGTAATCAGGAGCGTCAAGCCAATGCCTTTTCCGTAAAACCGGTGCCCATCTGTTGACCGTCTCCATGGCGGCCAGAGGATCCTCGTCTGCTCCATGCCATGCCGTTGCCGTATGCAAAACGCACCTGGTCCAGTTCGTTCATATGGTGTCCATCCCTTGTCTCTTACTCACATTACCCTCCGGTCCCCTCTCTTTTTCTCAATTTTTTTTCTTCTTTGCTTCAATTCCAGCTATACATGGATACCGCCTAGTAGGTACATGCTCGTATACCAGCAAGGGATGGGGGGGGGGGGGGGGTAAACAAGCTGCAGGGCTGCTCAACAGCTTTCTGCTTGCTGCGTGTCCTCGCCTGGCAATTGGGCCAGCCCAGCACCAGCCCGGCACCAGCACCGGCACCAGCACCAGCCTGTGCGCGCCACGCACCACCCAGCAGGTCGGGATCAGAGACCGCCCTTTTTAGCTCGCCTCGATCGAGCCGTGACGCCGATGGATGGCGATAGTGCCCTCTTCCCTGTAGCCTTCCCTGTACAGCACAGTATATAGGCGACCAGCCCGTCAACCAGGAGGGGGGCTCTCGGTGGTGTAACCGCGTGTTGAGTGGCCAGATGGAGCGAGCAGAGAGGAGAGAGAGAGAGAGAGAGAATTGCCCAAGGCGGCAACGCTTTTGTTGGCAATGTGTGCATGTACTTTGGCAACCTCCTCGCAGGTGCAGCAGCTTCATTTCGTTAAAGCACCGCTAGCAGCAAGAGGAGGTGATGCTGCTGCCTCCTTGCAGGGAATGGGCTTGTGCTTCTGCAACTAGAGGCTGTGGCCGTTTTTGCTACTGCTGATACAGTACGAGGAGGCATGTGTGTACATGTGAGCATCAATCATGTCCGTTTCCTTTTGCTCTCCCTTACATGCTCATGGCCAGGTATGCGTATGCTCACACACGCGGGCTTCCAACCAATGCAGAGGTGACAACTTTCACGCAGCCGCCAGAGGTGGTGGCAAAAAATCTCAGATAGATGGCACCCCATCTGAGATGCCATCTCGTCACCAAGCTTCGACAAGAGGGCCCGTGTAACAGCGGTAACGACGCAGCCGTCGTTTGTGGCGTGCGTGTGCGTGCGTGCGTGAGTGAGTACATTTGATGTGCCTGTATGGGTGTCACCGTCACCGTCACCACTTGTAGGTTTCTGGGCTCAGGATTCCTCACCAACAGCCTCACTTCTTCTCACTCTCCGTCTCTCCGTCTCTCCCCCCTCCTCTGCTCTGTTCTTGACCCCCTGATCCCCCATCACGAGGAATATCACGCCTCTCCTCCCCAACGTCTCCAGCCGGCCGGTTCGCTAAACTAGCAGCTAAGCAAGAATCCCATCGCCGAACGTAACGTGGCTGACAGCAGATCGAGCTCAGAAAAGTCGGGAACGCACCGTCGACCCATGCCGCTCACACACTTCCGTCTCCTCTTTCAGTGACCGCCCTATTGCCATGCAAGACCCCTGCGCTCAACCAAAAAGTGGCGGTCCCCGCTTGCTGGCATAAGCTTCTGTCTCCCCTTCTTCTCTGGCAGGGGCCCGGCCTGGCACAGGAGCAAAAAGGCCTCTGCTTATGTGCTCTCCGCCTTTTTGTGATTCCCAATCCCGCCTATTGACTCGACGCCAATCCCGGCCGCGGCCACCGCCTGCCTCGGTAGTCGTGCAGTCGTGCAGTCAGTCGTGCAGTCAGTCGTGCGTGGATGAATCCAACTGCTGGTGCAGACGGTAGACTGTGCGATGGAAGCACAAAGAGACTAGGCGTGCTGCACGAGACCAGGGAGATGGAGTGATGCCAACCGTAGCATCGCCAATCACAGCCGCATCTTGTGTACGCACTTGGCTGTCGTGGTAGGTATTACCTACTACACTACAGCACTGCAGCACTCTGACTGCACGGTATTACTATACGTATTACTACCTACAGGTACATCAAGTATTCATCAACCTCGTCATTGGCCGTCTGCAGCACAAGCCATCGACGCATCCTGCTGTGTGCCCTTGGACGACGTCTCGGCACTCATTTACACCGTAACTGCAGTGACTAGCGGCCGTCTTAGTGCTTCCAAATGTCTTCCTCAGCGCCATAGGTGCGCTAAAGGAAAAAAATCGGAAACAGCACTGGCAGAGCAGTTGAAGCCCTGAGAGCCAGAGCCTAGGTAAACGTCAAAACGGTAGCACATTCTCTCCCCGGCCCAGCGGCGTTGATGCCCCGATCTTCCGGCACCTCGTCCAACCCGCAAACTGTCCCGCACCGGATCAGCGCCCCGGCCGCTACATCTGGCTCCCTAGCCTCAAACTGCGGTTTTGCTTGACGTTTTTATAACCCCGGCAAAAAACACCATCAACATCGCCAACCAGCGACGCATCGCACGCGCAGCAAGACAAGAAGACGAAAAGCACAACATATCGCGGCAAGGCAAGGCATCGCATCAGCGAGAAATAGAATTAAAAATAACCACAAACAGACGCACACTCCCCCGCCAGCTCCCGACTCTGCCCCTCACCCTCACCCTCGTCCTCGTCCTCGTGTCTGTCTGCATCTGCCATCTGCATCGTCCATCCATCTCTCTTCTCGAGCCACTACCGTGTAGGATTTCTGCCGGCACAGCGTCTCTCTCCCCCTCCAACGCGGGCAAACCATTGACCCCTCCCCTGCCTTTGCCTTGCCTTTATCCCACCCCCATATAGTCCAACCATCGACCAATATCAAATGAAATGATCGTCGCCTCGCCAGCCCTGCGTCGCCTCGCCTCGGCCTCCTCTTCTTCCTCCCGGCTTCGCTCGCATGGCCCCTCTTCTCTGCTTTCCCGTCGCTGCGGGGCCAGCAATCCTGCTGCTGCTGCATCCTCTTCCTGCCACTCCCTCCGCTCTGCCTCGCCCTTCACTCACTTCCCGTCATCAGCCACAGCAGCCACTCAGATGAGGATGGCGTCGTCGTCGTCTACTTCCGCCCTGCCTCGCCTGGCCCTCTTCGAAGCCGTTGCCCGCCACGACGCCGATGCCCTCGCCGTGGTCCACTCGCTCTCTGGCCGGAGCTTCACCTACGGCCGGCTGCTGGGCGACGTGCGCCGGGCGCGGAACCGGCTGCTCGAGGCCCGGGGCAAGGCCAGCGGCGACGACCTGGACGGCGAGAGGGTTGCGCTCTTGGTAGAGAACAGCTACGATTACGTAGGTGAGCAATCCATGATTACGACTGTTTGTATACGAGCAAACCTGACTCAACCTTCACAGTCGCTCTGCTCTCCATCCTGGCCGCGCGCGCAATAGCCGTGCCTCTGTCTCCCGCATTCCCCATCCCAGAGCTCGAGTATGTCCTCAACCACAGCGAGGCCTCGCTGCTCGTCTCGTCTCCCAAGTTTGCCTCCAAGGCCCAGCAGGTCCTGGCCGCAGAGCTGACGTCCAAGCCCGCCCACGTGGAGCTGCCCAAGCATGCCGAAAGTGCGGATGCTGCCACCAGAGAGGAGGTTCCCTTGGAAGACAGCGCCGAGCCGGGCCAAGCAGGCCTCATGCTGTATACTTCAGGGACGACGAACAAGCCGGTAAGAAACTGCTGTTATCATAATGCTTGCTCCATGACTTGGTTCTAAAACTCAACCTCCAGAAAGGCGTCTTGCTGCCCCAGTCCGTCCTCACCGCGCAAGCTCGCTCCCTCCATGAAGCCTGGGAATACTCCCCCTCGGACCATCTCCTCCACCTGCTCCCCCTCCACCACATCCACGGCGTCGTCAACGCCATCCTGACGCCCCTCCTCGCCGGGTCCTCCATCGAATTCATGTTCCCCTTCAACGCCGACGCAGTCTGGAACCGCCTCGCTGCTCCTTTCCTGCCCGCTTCCGAGACCATCACCAACGGCATCGCCACCAACGGCGACACACCGGCAGCATCCAAGGCTCCCAAACCAAGGGTCACCTTCTTCACCGCCGTCCCCACAATCTACAGCCGCCTCCTCACCACCCACAAGTCCCTCCCCCCTCCCATCCAGGACGCCTCCCGCGAGGCAATCTCCCCTTCCAACCTCCGCCTCAACATCTCCGGCTCCGCCGCCTTGCCCACCCCCATCAAGACCGCCTGGGCATCCCTCAGCAACGGAAACGTCCTCCTCGAGCGCTACGGCATGACTGAAGTCGGCATGGCCCTCTCCTGCGGCCTCTCCTTCGCCGACCGCGTCGACGCCTCCGTCGGCTGGCCTTTGCCTTCCGTCCAGGCCCGCCTCGTCGACGTCGACTCCGCAGAGGTCATCCTCCCCGGCCAGGAAACCGGCCCCGACGGCCGCGAGCGCTCCGGCGAGATCCAGCTCCGCGGGCCAACCATTTTCAAGGAATACTGGCACAACCCAGCCGCCACCGAAAAGGAATTCACAAAGGACGACGACGGCCAAGGCCCCTGGTTCAAAACCGGCGACGTCGCCGTCCGCCGCCCCGTCCCCACCGCCGGCCTCAACACCTCCCACCAGCCCTGGGCCGCCGGCCCCCTCTACTTCATCCAGGGCCGTAAATCCGCCGACATCATCAAGACCGGCGGCGAAAAGGTAAGCGCCCTTGAGATTGAGCGCGAGCTCCTCTCCCTGCCGCAAGTCGCCGAGGCCGCCGTCGTCGCCGTGCCCAGCGGCGCATGGGGCCAAAAGGTCGGCGCCGTCATCGTGCTCGACAGGGCCGTCGCCGAGAAGTGGTCGCCGCTGGAGATGCGCCGCGCGCTCAAGAGCCGCCTGGCCAACTACAAGATCCCGCAGGTCATGAAGGTGGTGGACAGCATACCGCGCAATGCCATGGGCAAGATTAATAAGAAGCAGCTTGTCAAGGCCATCTTTGCCGACGAACACAGCGGTGACGAGGCATAGATGTTTTGTCAACTCCAACACGATTTGCATTTGTCTCTCTTCTTATTATACTGCTATTTGGCGACTGGATGTAGAATAGAGTCAGGCATAGATGAAATACGTAGGTACAGTAGGCAATATCTAAGCAATCCAGACCATCGGAAACTCATAAATGAACCCACTAAAGCATAAAATCACAAGAGTCTCAAGTGGTGACAGTAAATCAATTGACAAGAAAGAAGTATTAAATAAAAGAGAAAAATCAATCAATGCTTATAAAAAAGAGCACGGCATTTTGGGCCCGAATATCAGACATCTATTTTTTTTCCTTCTTTTTCGGGGTTTTCTGAAATAAAGAGGTTCCTGTGTTGGTTCCTCGCCAGCCGCATCTGCCGCCTTGCGCAGCCTAATTTTGACAAGTTTCAAGAAAAAAAAAGATAACGAGAGCTCCTGAGCCAACGCCGTCATGTGATGTGAGAAAGATGCCATCGTCCCAGAGTCATTAGTTGCCCGAGAAGCCAAGCTCATGTCTTGCTATGCGCAAACCCCGACCCGCATCCGACAAAGGAAAAGTAAATCATGTCTCTTAACCACTGACCCCTGAATGCCCACTCGTTCTGTCCCACGATGGGATACAAGGCCTTGAGAGAGGTGCGCATTGGGGGACATGCTACGGATATCTGGTGGTGGTAGGTAGTAGGGTGTAGTCAATGCAACCTCCGCTCCCCGTCCAATATTGTAAAGCTTCCATCTTTGGGCCATTATACGGTATACTTGGCCTTGGCTCTGGTGCTACCAGCATGAGCGCTGTCCGTGTGGCCTGAGAACTCAATCTGCTCGTTGCTGGGGAGCTCAAGGGTTTCCTTGAATCTGCGTCCGATAGACAGGAGAATGTCCTTACCCTTCTCCGAGCTTCGGCCCTTTCCGCCGGCAACATCACCGTCACCTCGGCCGGGAATGCTCTTTCCTATGGTGCGAGTCCAGACTCCGATACGGTAGAAGCCCTTGCGGACGTTGACAACAACGCCCATGACCTCGCCATCGTCTTCCTCCTCGAGCGTCTCACCGATGGCGCCCATCATGACATGCAGCCAGAGACGGTCGACATCGACGTTGCGCTTATCCTTGTACTGGTAGGACCACTTGCCACCGTGCTTGTTCTGGGGGTCTTCCCACTCTGGGCGAACGCCGGCCTTGAAGAGATGGTAGTCGGACTTGAGGGCAAGTTCTGAAACGGGGGCAACATTGTTCTATACGATGGGCACAGTCAGCAACCAGAAACATGGGATGGAACCTCACAGGGAGGCCTCGCAGTAGATGCGTCATGGACTTACGTAGACGCCCCAAAACTCCTCAACTGAATCGAAGGTGATGACCTCCTTGAGCAGGTCATTCCAGTTATCGCCCTGGAGTGAACACACAAGATAATTAGCTCCAGTCTCCTCGATCAAATCAAAATTTGGCCGTGGCTGCGAGTCCAATCTGACGGGTCCTCATTGGCAGCCACTTCCAGGTCCGATGCCGCATACCTTTCCGCTCGGGGGCTTGGTGAACCACAGAGTCCACTTGTTCTGGAGAGGATGCTTGACATTGAAGTTGTCCTTGTCGTGGAAGACCGTCACGGGCTTGCTGTCGTCCGCGGCCTCGCTTCCGTTCTCAGCGCCCTTGGGCGAGATGGGGATGGTGGAGAGATCGACCTGCTGGTCCATGTTGGTTGCCTCCGTCGCAGCAGCAGCCATTGTGTCGCTATTTGTGTCGCGCGGGCGTTGTGTCAAGTTTGTGGGTGGTTTGGTGGTCTGGTGGTTTGTAGCCGCAAAGAAGAAGTGAAGAGGTGTGTGTTTTGGAGAAGAACCAGGAAAAAAAATTGGAGCTCTCTCAATGGCGGGAATTCGAAAATCGCGGGGCAGCAGCGGTGGGATGTAGCAGCAGCAAGGGAAAAAAATTGCAGTGGCGGCAGAAGGAAGAGAGAAGAAGTTTGATGGCTGCTTCTGCTTTTGGGATGTTTGGAAATTTGGAGGAAAATAATATTCGGCTAAAAGTATTCGGTTTCTGCCTTGATAACGTCCGAACTTGCTCCAGGCAAAGAATCGGGCTTGTTTCGTCAAGTGCGAACAGTGATTCTACCTTTTTTGCACCGAAGCTACTAGTAGTACTTTACGGGGCGCATAAAAGATTCACATTTGGCAGTGGCTGTCCTGTGGAAATGTTGGCCTGGGATATTAGGCAAGAATTTAAAGTAGAGTGTACTTATCATAACATTGGTTATAGGCTGGAAAAACATGTACCGCCTACTAGATTATTATTCTAGTTCGCTGAACAAACATGCCCAGCTGCTATCATGAGAAGAAAACACAAAATTTGAGGACAAAAGTTCAAGGGCTAAATATAGAAATTGGCTAATAATATTGATCCTGAACCGGAGGCTGAACATGGAAAGCACAATGGAAAATCCAAATATAGATCAAAATAGATAGCTGCTCTACAGCTCACTTGTCAAAAGGCTTTCATTGCCACAAACCAGAAAACAAATGGCACTGCACCAGCAACATGTCAAGAGAATATACCAATTGCAATACAAATATATACAAATATACATATAAATGTATATTGCCTATTTCCCCTCGTACGTATTTGTCAAAACCTAAATACCTACACACAACAAGCAATCCATTAATAAACAGCCCTTTCAGCAAAATATCATCCCTTCCATCCTTCCATCCTTCCATCCAGCATATATGCACTCGTCCGTCCGTCCATCCTTTGCTTAAATCCTCCCTCGTATGTAAAACCCTCGTTTCCCGTTCTATCCTTGGAATAAATAAGAAAGAAACAAGAACGAAAAAAAAAAAAAAAAAGCATAAAATATCGCTCCGCATGTAAAAACCAGGTTGAGAAAAAGGAAATCCCTTTAACAGACTTGTCCCGTCCTTGCTTGCTTGTATATCCATTCCACTTGTCGTTTCTTTCTCTCGTATAAAAAAAACGGCATTGACCTGCACTACCTTGTACCCTGTGCATATGCTGTCCTTCCGTATTCTTTTGCAGCCCAAAAAATAAAAAAATAAAAGAGTAAATAAAAGAGTGATTCCGTCGTGTCTTCCTGTTAAACGCCTCTTTCGAAGTTAAAATAGGAAGCGGAATAGAAAAGAAATCGCACCCAAATAGTCGTAATCGTGAGATTTCCGTATCATGTAAAAAAAAAAATCCACAATGCCTTCTTAGAATATGCAAAGGCAAATGCTTCCTCAAATCAAAAACTTTTTGTCGAAATAGAAAGAAAAGGCAGAAAAGTAAAAGAAGGAGGAGAGGAGAAGCTACTATGGAGAGAAGAGAATGAAGAGGGCATGCAGTAAAACTTAAATCGACCTGCCATTCTCCAGCTTATTAACATTCTCTTCAGTCAAGGCCTCTCCTGCTCCAGACTCAGGGAGGGAAATGTTGTTAAGATCAGCTGGCACACCCCCTGCGGCGTCAATGAGCTTCGTCCCGTGAAGCATATTCGACAACTCTCGCTCTCCTTCGGGTCGGCGCACCGGCGGCGACATCTCAGCCGCCATGGCCGAGTCAAACGGCGAGGGCTCATGCCGTCCGTTGGTCGTCAGCGGCCGTGGGGTGATTGCGTTGGGATGAAACTCTTCCGACGCCGAAAGAGGCAATGAATCGCCTTCTTCGATGCCCAGATGCGGAATGTCAGCATTCTCGCAGTGCTCTCCCATCTCGGAGCAGTCAGAAGCAGGCGGCTCCGACTGTGGTTGGCGTCGGGTTAATGACCACCTGATGAGCATCTTCTCCAGTACTTTCATCGTCACCGGCTTAGGTAGATAATCATCCATGCCAGCTCTTGTGCACTTTTCACGATCCCCTTGGATTGCCGATGCCGTCATGGCCACGATGGGCACATCTTGGACCAGCTTTTTGTATGGTAAATGGTGGCGGAGAAGATGAGTACACTTGTAGCCGTCGATGATGGGCATCTGCACGTCCATGAGTATAATGTCCGGCTTTTTATTTTGGCCTTTTGATGCGCCAATCATATAATCCAGCGCCTCTTTGCCATTCCAAGTCGCTGAGACTTGGAAACCGAGTTTTCCAATAGTTCGAGTAGCAATCTTCTGATTTACTGGGCTGTGAGAGAGAGAGAGAAACGTTAGCCATAAGAAGAAGAAACTGGGAGAGAACTGAACCTTGGCTGGCCAGCAGACACTTACTTATCCTCTACCACTAATATATGCAGTCGTGCTCTTTCAGATCGAGGAAGTTCTTGCTCAGTCGGCGGAGGCGTCTTGACAGAAACGCGCCGACGCGTCTTGGCAACGGGGCCACTTACGGGGCCATCCGACCCTTGTGAAGCGCTCGTCAACTGCTCATACTCCGAGCTGTTACACGAGAGGCTCAGCTCGGACTGTAGTCGATCGGAGATGGCTCCGGCTTCAGCCAAGGATGGAGCTCTGGCCCCTGTGGGCTTCATGAATGGAATCCAAAACGTTGCTTTGGTGCCGGATCCCACGTTTGACTCCAGCTTGATACGACCATTCATCAGGTCTAGCAAGTTCTTGCAAATTGTCAATCCGAGTCCCGTGCCACCGAATTTTCTCGCCGTAGATGGATCTCCTTGGCTGAATGGCTTGAAGAGCTTCTTGCGAACGCTTTCTTCGATGCCAATTCCCGAATCTTCAATAACAAATCGAACCTCGATCGCCTCAGCCGTTTCGCGCTCTTTGACCACCGAAAACTTGACATACCCCTGGTTTGTGAACTTGATGCTGTTCGTGAGGAGATTGGTAATAATCTGTCGCAACCTGCCGGGATCGCCAATGACCACTCGTTCATTCGCAATATCCTTGCCAACGTCGGATAAGAAATCCAGATTTTTCCGCTCAACAGCAAACTTGAGCATCTTCCTCACCTCCTGGACAATATGAGAGAGAGAAAATTGCACTTCTTCAATGTCCAGGCGACCAGATTCTACTTTGGAGAAATCTAGAATGTCATTGATTACAGTGAGCAGCGATGTAGCAGAGCTTTGAATATTGTCGATATATTCACGCTGCTCTTGGGTCAACTCCATATCGCCCAGCAGCTCCGCCATGCCGAGAACTCCAGTGATTGGCGTCCTAATTTCGTGAGACATGTTGGCCAAAAATTGGCTTTTAAGCCTTGTGGCCTCTTTAGCAGCAGCCTCGTTGGCCATTGCGCGGCGCTTCTCTTTATCTTGCTCTCGCAAAGCTTCTCCTCTTTCCTTCAGTTCAGTCACGTCCATTATGACTCCTATAACGCCTTCGATACACGTCTCTTGCGTCGCTCTGTTGTCTTTTGTCTTTTTTCCGAGCATCGGGTGGAACCGTGTACGATACCAGCGGTCATCTACCCACCAGGGTCAGCTTTGCAGGCCTCTTTATACCATGACTTGACCCAATCAGAATTGGGTTCTCCAAGGGCACACCACTTACCAATTCCATGCTCCTTCACATCCTCATTGGTTCTTCCCCCCAAAATATCTTCGATGGGTTGCAGCCACTGCGGGCGTTCTCCGTCAGGCGCCTGTTCGGTGAGTCGGTTGAAGACGGTATACATGTTCTCCCCAACAAACCACCTGCTCCTTTCATGGTTATCTTCAGTGGCAGTGTTCCAAATCAGAGCACCCTCGAGCATAGTAACTCGGCGTTCGGGATCAACGGTGAAGATGGTGACGTGCGAATGAGCAAGTACACTCAGCAGCTGCTGGCGCGTACGCTTGGCACTGAGTTTCGTCTGCATGCTCTCGTGAATGTCGGTGCAAGTCCCTGTTGTAATTAGATGGTTTGATTAGTTACTCGCCCTCTTTCGTCTTGAACCGTTTAAAATCAAACATACCAAACCACTTTTCAATCTTGCCCGTTTCTTTATCACGTACCGCAAGGGCACGACCAAGGAACCATCGCCACTCTCCCTCTTTGCTAAGGCAGCGATACTCCATCACATAAGGATCTCCTGTCTTCAGAGAGTGAGTCCAGCGAGCTCGAGCTCCAGGCATATCGTCGGGGTGAACTGCTGGGTGGATGTTTCCTTTGAGATCCTGTCCAATGCAGCGCCCGGGACTCAGGCCGGTATAGGCATACCATCTCGTATTGAAAAAATCGTGCGTTCCGTCCGGGCGCGCCGTCCACACCAGCTGCGGCATCGTGTCGCATATGACCTTGAAACGCTCTTCATCGCGTTCTTTGATGTGGGTAATCTCTTCCGTCATGGTTGTTACATCACGGCCAGTGACGACGGCGGCAAGAAATTCGTGCGTGTTCTCGTCGTAAATTGCTTCTCCTAGCACGTCAAATATGATCCTATTCCCTTTGCGTCCGTACATGCCTATACGTTTGCTATCAAAGGGCTTCTCTGTCCTAAGCAGTATAGATATCGGATACTCGCTGACTTCTAAGCGCTTCGTAAAATCTTCGTTCCACACCTCCCATTTCTCTAGCAGGTAATCTCCATCGAGTGAAGAGTCGAGGTCCGTGTTCTCAGGGAAGAGCTGTCTCGCAGCCTTGTTCGGAAACGTTACACTGCCATCTTTCCACATGGCGACAACGGGCATCTGTGTGCTATCGATCAAGGCGTCTTTCATCATAATGAGCTTTTGCAGCACCGAAGGCGTGCTGGATTGGGTATGAGACGCCACGGTTGGAGGTCCCATGGGAGGGAAGGGGCTCGAGGACATGGTAATAACGCCCGGACTGTAGAATAGTGGCGAGCTAGAGTCTCGGCTGGAAGCCACGGATGCCGGGCTTGATGTAGTTATCGACTTTTTATCCACGGCTTCGAGGGCGCTGGATCGGGCAACGGCCCTCCGGCCGCTAACAGGCATGGCCGGGGCAGATTGAGCATTGGTAAAGGTCAGAGTGAAGAAGACTTGCTTATCCTCGATTTCCCAGATGGTGATGATCATCTTGGCAAAGGCGTGGTACTCGGACTCCTTTGACCTG